ATCTTCCATCCTTTTTTTTTTTTTTTTTTGAGAATAAATTTAACCTTGAGAAGATTAAATTTCCAACTCTTAGCTATTTCCAACTCTTAGCTATTTCCAACTCTTAGCTAAAACCCAAGTGTCCTGGTGTCCTGTGTTGATGATGCTCTTTTCTGATGACATCAAACTATCTTCTGATAGAAATATATCTTGCAACTGTGTACTCAACCTCAGTGATCTCATGCACAAAGGCTTCAATAGGACTAGGTACCTTCGTGGTGGCTGTGGTGTGGTAGCATAGATCTAAAGAGATATGAACCTATACCTCTAAATCATATACAGTGTTATAATCCAGTGTCACTTCAGCAAATAATACAAGAAAAACTTCTATTATCACTATATAGATAATCCTTAAAAGTAATACCTATAGCCCTGAGTTGCCTTAGTGTAAGAGCTAAAACTATAAAATGCTTGGAAGAAAACAGGAGCAAATCTTCATGACATTGGAGTTGGCAGTGGGCCCTTAGATAAGATACCAAAGGGCAAACAAAAAACCAGAAAACTTCTGATTTGACTTCATCAAAATTAAAATTTCTCTGTCTCACAGGGTACTATCAAGAAAGTAAAAGGACAACCTACAGAAAGGGAGAAAATATTTGTAAATCATAAACCTTATATTTAGTCTATCTAGAATATATAAATAAATCTTATAATTCAATTTAAAAAAGATAAGGCAAATATCCTGAATTAAAAGCAAAGCCAAAGATTTTCAGTTGGACATTCCTCTGAAGAACATATACAAATGGTAAATAAGCACATTAAAAGACAGTTAAATCATTAGTTGTCAGGCAATTGCAAATCAAAACTACAAAGTGATACCAATTCATACCCACTAGAATGGTTATAATGATAAAACAGAAAATAACTAGTGTTGTTGAGGGTATGGAGAAATTGAAACCATCATTGCTGTAGGTGATGTAAAATGGTACAGTCGCTGTGGAAAAGTTTGGCATTTCATTAGTATGTACACATAAAGTTGTCATTTGACTTAACCATTTCACTTCTTTGGTATAATACCAAATAGAAATGAAAATACATGATTACAGGACCTCCCCTGGTGGTGCAGTGGTCCCACATGGCGCGCAGACCTCTCCTGCAGCGCCCACTGCTCCCCTCAGCAGTGTATTTCATCAGTCTGTCTGTTCTGCTCTCCGCTCTGGCTCTGGTGAATTCTCTCACCCTCCCATGCTTCTGACTGTACCCAGTGCTTGTATAAATAAATAAATAAATCTTTAAAAAAAAATACATGACTGCAGAACTGAGACACCAAGGGGAGAGGGTGTGGAGGAGTGAAAGGAACAGGGAGGGAGGGAGGCGCAATGGTCTGTGGTAGAGTATGGGCAAGTTGGTATGGATGCACTATGGTAGTAATACATGTTGAGGATACCCCAATGTTACCTCAATTAAAAAACAATTAATTAAAAATTTAAAAAAGAAAATATTTGCCCACACAGTAATTTGATATGAATGCTCATAGCAGCATGATTCATAATAGCCAAGAGATAAAAAATAAGACAAATATCCAACAGTTGATGAGTAAAGAAAGAAAAGGAATGAAATACTGATATGTACTATAAAAGTTCACAAAGTCAGTGATTTTCATTTATTTGAAGTATCTACATTAGATAAACCTATAAAGATAGAAAATGTATTTGTGGATACTAAAATTGTGATAATGGTTCCACAAATTCTTTATATTTACTAAAAAACATTTGATTTTACACTACCCACCCCAGTAATGTTTATTGAGGTAAGTTCGTTTACATCATTGTATCTTTGTGGGGTATAGGTTTAAGCCTCTATAAATGTGTATTTTCACATTGACCACCACCATTGTCCCAATAATCCTCCACCATGCTCCATTAGGCCCCTTCCCTTTTCTGCCCCTACCTCACACACCCTTCCCTCTGGTTGCCTCAGGATTTTTTCTTTTCCCCAAGATTTATTTATTCATGCATACAAGAACCAGGGTACAGGCCAGATGTGCAGGAGGGTGAGAGGACTCACCAGAGACAGAGCGGGGACCAGAACAGGCAGACAACTGAAATACACTGCTGAGGGGAGCAGCGGGCAAGGCAGGAGAGGTCTGCTATGCCATGTAGGACTCTCCCTGCTCGGCCGGGAATCGAACCTGTGCTGCAGAGGCTGCGGACAGCTTCACAGCACTGCATTCAACTGCCTGCGCCACTAGGGAGGCCCTGGTTGCCACAGTTTTGCGGTCAGATGTTAAGAGTTTATTACTGGCTTCCTTTTGACTGACCCTTAGTTATGTTTCTCTATATTCCACATATAAGTGAGACCATCCAGTGTTTGTCTTCTTCTGACATACCTTACTTAACGTTTCAAAAGGGTTTACTATAGGTATGTAAATCATATCTCAATAAACTGCTACAAAACAAAAATGTGATGACTCCATTCAGTGAAAACAGTTGCCATTGTTGCTTCACCAGGAACCACAGTTTGAGAACAATTAAATTAAAGATTTATTTATTTATTTATTTATTTATTTATTTATTTATTTATTTATACAAGCACTGGGTACAGTCAGAAGCACGGGAGGGTGAGAGAATTCACCAGAGCCAGAGCGGGGAACAGAACAGGCAGATTGATGATACACTGCTGAGGGGAACAGCGGGCGGCAGGAGAGGTCTGCGCGCCATGTGGGACCCTTGCCGGAGGTCAGGGATTGAACCAGCGCTGCAGAGGCTGCAGGCAGCTTCGCAACCCAACACTCAACCGCTGCGCCACTGGTGAGGCCCGAGAACAATTAAATTAAAAGATCTTAAACATAGGGGTGCAGGTGTTCTTTGGAATGGATGTTTCTGTGTCCTTTGGTAAAGACCTAGGGGTGGAATTGCTGGATCATATGGAAGCTCTATGTTTAGTAGGTCCAGAAATCTCCACACAGCTCTCTGTAGTGGTTGGACCAGTTTGCACTCCCACCAGCAGTGCAGAAGAGTTCCTTTTTCTCCACACCCTCGCCAACATTTGTTGTTGCTAGTTTTTTTAATATGTGCCATTCTCACTGGTGTGCGATGGTATCTCATGGTAGTTTTGATTTGCATTTCCCTGATTACAAGTGATGTTGAACATTTTTCATATGCCTGTTGGCCATTTGCATTTCCTCTTCAGAGAAGTTTCTTTTTAGCTGTTCTGCCCATTTTTTGACTGGGTTATTTTCTTTGTTGTTGCTGAGTCTCATCAGCTCTTTGCAGATTTTTGTGATCAGTCCTTTATCATTAGTGTTGGGTGCAAAAATGTTCTCCCAGTTACAATAGCTAAGCTTTGGAAACAGCCCAAATGCCCAAAAATAGATGACTGGATCAAGAGGATGTGGTACATATACACCATGGAATATTACTCAGCAATCAAAAAAGATAAACACATGCAATTTGCAGCAACATGGATGGCGCTGGAACGGATCATGCTCAGCGAAATAAGCCAAAAAGAAAAAGAAAAATACCGGATGGTCTCACTCATAGCAGGAATCTAGAAAACTTAAATAAGGGACCAGGAAAATGAATAACTATAAGAAAGTGAAAATCAAAATCAACAAAAAAACTATGAACCAGAGACACTTTTTGGGGGGTGAGGTTCGGGAGGGGAGGGATTGGGGTCAGAATGGGGGGGCTGCAATTGTATGGGGAATATAAAAATTAAAAAAAAAAAAAGAAGAAAAGGAATATGGGCACCCTAACAGAAGCTCGCTGCATTGTGAGGGAAATGGATTCACGCGTGGACTTCTTCTGCATCAGGCTGGAGGAAGGCCTTGCTGTAATTGTAATAAAATCATCAACTCCGTCACTGCACTTTATCAGAATGACATTCCTTATACTAACAATAGACAGACTATAACAAAAGATTACATTCATGTTATCAGAGTCACTAAAAGAGAGGAAAAAAGAGGGTGGAAATAAAAAGTACTTGAGGTAGTAGTGGCTGGAAAATCCTCAAAAGATATGAATACACAGATGCAAGAAGCTGAGTAAATCCCAAACAGTATTAATGTAAAGGAATTAGCACCAACACACACCACAGCCAAACTTCTGAAAAATAAAGACAAAGAAAAATAGCCTAAAAGTATTGGGAGGAAAATAAACCCTTACATAGGGAGGAAAACAAATTGAATGACAATGAAATTTTTCATCTGGAGTCATAGAGGTCAGTGACACATCTTTCATGTGTCAAAAGAAAGAACTGTCAACCAGAATCTTGTTCCTAGTAAAAATATCCTTTAGGAATGAAGAAGAAATCAAAACATTCTCAGGTGAAGGAACTAAAGGAATATGTCACTAGCATATCTGACCTAAAAGAATGATTAACTAAAGTTCTTTAAACAGAAAGAAAAACAAAGAAATAAACCTTGGCTCATCAAAAAGGAAGAAGGAACACAGCAAAAATATAGAACCTACCTATTGTGGACAAATCCTGGAAACTGACCCACTGGTGGCAGAACCCAGCAATCCCAGGAGGGGTCCTGGAAGCAACCCTCACCATAGTAGCCCCCAGCAGACCTCATTGAACCCCAAGACAAGGGAGCAGGCCCTACACAGTAGGGCCCCATAGGCCACAGCTAGCCCTTGGGGATGGTCCTGGAAGCAATATAGTCCCAGAGAGAAGATAGAAGGAACCAAGAACCAATCTTCATGAATCAATAGGAACTTTCTCTCCCCGCCAATAAATTCTGCTTTCAACTGTGAAAAATAAATAAATAAATAAATAAATAAATAAATTAAAAGATCTTAGTTAACCATTTTTTATCCCAAACCCCCAGTTAACCAGAGATCACCATTCTCTCACAATTCTAGTTCAGATTTTATTATAAATTGCTTTGGGGTCTTGTAACTGGGACATTATCATTGCTTTGAGTTGCCATAGGATTCTCCTTTCCTGCAATTTAGGGTCCCACAGTCACTGAATGGCATAGCTTAGGAGCTTTGCTGTCTATTCTTATTTTACAGGATGAGGAAGAAGATCTCAGGACTGAACTCAACCTTTTGAAGAAATACTCTTTCCACAAAAACATCGTGTCCTTCTATGGTGCATTTTTCAAGATGAGCCCCCCTGGCCAGAGACACCAACTTTGGGTATGTATTCAGTTGCTTTTTTCTTACTCCATAGGCTATGTCCTGAGGATGCATACTTTCATAAGTTTAGATGTCACTTTTCTACACCTACAGGAAAACTTAAGCACTCACCTCCTCAAAGTAGTATGACAAAATGTGCTCTGAATTCTGGCGATGGGACTGATAAAATATGAAAAAAAATAAGGACCTGGCAAGGGGCTGGGTATTGGGATCGGGGAATACTCGAAGGAAGGCTGGAAATTTCTTTTCAAATATAGTTTTGCTGCTAATTTAAGCTTTATGTAATTGCTACCTTTGCTGGTAAATTTGAGGTACAGCTAAGGATACTGTTTGATGGATTTGCAAATAATGACTAGATAAGTATCCATTTAACTAGTATTTGACATGAGCTTATGAGTGTATTTTATGTACTTGCTAAGTGCAGAGGGTCCTCAAATAACGGGGTTTCATTCAACATCATTTTGTTTTAACTTTAATGACAAAAAAATCCTGGCCAGTGTTAATGAATAGATATCAGTGACCTGCTTTCCTAATGTCATTACGATTAAAGTCACATTTCTAAGAACCTATCAATGATGTTATTGAGGATTTCTTGTATATTCACATATATTTAAATATACCCCCTGGAAACTCTTTTCTGAGTCATTAACTTATCCTTTTCTAAATCTTCATGTCTCTAAGTATCACTAATTCCAGATGCAAATTCAGAGGCTAACTGAAATCCAGCCTGCAGCTACAAGAATTGTTTCTGCCTTGTGCTATAGGCAAAACAAACAACAAACAAAAAATGACACACACACACAAGAAAATGAGCTTTGGTCAAGGATGTCCTTATTGAAAAGGGAATATTTAGAATATAAGCCGAGGTCAGTGTATACTTACTAGGTTTCCATTTCTAGTCCAAGTCAAGACTACTTTTTTTTTTTTTCCATCAAAATAATGACTGAGACTTTACAGGATCTTCAAATGTGAAGAAAAATTCTGTTACATTTTACATTACAGACTTCAGGAAGCAGAACAGAGAACATTATAGAAGGTTTTCAATAGGGAATGAATTGATTCTGTGGTTCTCAGACTTTAGCAGGCATCAGAATCTTCTGGAGAGCCTGATAAAACAAATTGTTGGGCACCACCCACAAAGATACTGAATTCTGCTGGTCTTGGTGTGGACCAACGAATTTGACATTTTAATAAGTTTACAGATGATGTTGATGCTGATGTGGTTACTATAATTTGAAAACCACCAAATTTAGAGTTTTTCAAGTTAATCTGATATTCTCTCAACTCTACTTATAAGAGAATTAGTTGAGACTTATTATATACAGGAGCACAACTTTAATGGCAACTGGTAATTTTTTGTGTACACTATCTTTTTTATTATTACTGAGCTAACATTGGTTTACAGCATTGTATACAACTCAGTGGAATAGGTTCACATCTCCTCAGATGTATATCACCCAACACCAGAGCACCCATAGCCCTTTACCATAGACCACTGTGTCCCTCCTGACTTGACCCCACTGTCCCCCTGCCTCTCTAGTAACCTCAATTCTGCAGTCAAGTTTTGGGGGCTTGTTTTTATTTAGTTTTGTCATTTCCTTTGCTTGGTTTCTTTATATTCCACATATGAGTGAAATCATCTGGTATTTGCCTTTCTCCCTCTTGCTTATTTCACTTAACATAATTTCCTCCAGTTCTATCCATGTTGTCACAGTAGCAAGAGTTCATCTTTATAGCTGGATAGTATTCCGTCATGTATATGTACCACATTTTCTTAATCTTCTCATCTGTCTTTGGGCATTTAGGTTGTTTCCATATATGTTGAATGACTAAATGAATGACTAAATGAATTAATAATATAATCACATATATGATATATATTTACTTACAAGTTTTTCTTCCTTCAATTCTCTTTACTGTATATATCACATATATTATTAATACTGCTTTATCATTCAACATATACTCATTTGAAAGTATTTGCCAGGCTTTCTGCTGATGCTGGAGATATGGTCGTACGCTGAATATTTTCCTGGCTTATTGGAACTTATATTCTATTTGCAAAGACCTATATCAATCAAATAATCACAAAAATGAAAATATAACCAATCAGAAGGGAACTAACATGCTTCTGTGTGTCAAAAAGCAAAGGAACCGAAATCTAGTAGGGCAGTGAGAAAGTCTTCCTTGAGAAAATGAAACTTGAAGTGAAATCTGAAAGGATCTGTGCTTCATGCAAAAATCATTTCTGGAGATAAGAGTTTTTTCGTGGAACAATTCACACTTTCTTACCCATGTAAATCAAAACAAATAGAAAGTAAGGAAATGACTAAATGGTTACCATTGATAAAGCATATGTGCTAGGCACTGTGCTTACAAAGCTGGGAAAATGACTAAGAATGCCTTACATTCTTTCATAGTACAGTTCTTCTGACTCAGGTAATAGCACAATTTTTCAGTGTGCCTCTCACTAAATAGCTTTAACTTAGGTTTGTCATGGTTCAAAATGAGTCCCTGTTCTTCCATTAGCACAGTGTACATGTTGTGCCCATTCAATATAGTCAACATGAAAATAAATGTTTTGTGGTTTATTTGAATTAGTGGTGTTGTTAGGCTGTTCTTTTCTTTTTTGTGAGAGTGTATTCAAGTGAAAGACATGCAAGAATATCAGTTGTGAATAAATACACATTAAGAGAGTAATTTTATTAAAAGAAAACAATCTTAGTATTCCAAAAGGAAATAAGGTAGGCATTTTGAATATTCATGATTTGGGGTTTATTCTTTTGCTTCCTCTTTTCTATGGTAATAATTAACTGGCCTACAGTTTAAAAAGACATGTTTAGTTCTATTGATAAAGCAACATTGACATGTGCACTAGTGCATGAACCTGTGCTTAAAAGTCTGCTAGGTTGATTAAAATAAGTATATTTTTCTTCACATTGGTCAACCGCTAGTTAAACTAGTATATGGAATGAAATTTACTATTTGGGAAATTTATCTGATTCTTTGGTGGCAGAAATAAATTTTCTGAGATGTTGACTTTATTAATAATATAAAATTTGTATGAGACACTGTCATTATTTCCTCTAAAGCAGAATTTCCATTGTGTTGTAGTCAAATCATTTGGAGAAAAATATACTCTATAGGAATGCAGTCAACATTTCCCCCCTTGGAGTTATAATTTGCCCATGTCTTCGGGAGAAATGTTCTAGAAATTGAAAATAAAAACAATAAAAATTCTAGTTATAATACTGAAGTACAGATTCCTTTGAAATCTTCTGTATCCTCCCTCTCTACCTGCAGTCAAGCTGTTCCTTCATCTGTCCTTTCTATTCTACTCCAGGTATCACTCAGTTGTCCCCAGCAAAAGCTTCTTTCTAAGAGCATTCTACTTGCAATGAACTGAATGTTCTATCCTTCAAGCCTTAGCTCAAATCCCAACTCCTGGTTAAATATCCCTGGCATGGTAACTGTCTTCCCTCCTTCCATAGACCTTTGGATTTCTTCCAACTTTTTTTGATTCCACTAACCTTTGGAGTCTTCCACCAGACAATTGAGCTTGTCTTTGCAGTGTCTTAATCTCTAAACATTACATATAAATGCAAGCCAGATGGACTAAAACTCTCCAGATATTTTCATAGAATTACTTTCTAATTGTTGATATTTTGCTGACTTTCCTGCAGATGGTGATGGAGTTATGTGCAGCAGGCTCAGTCACTGATGTGGTGAGAATGACCAGGAATCAGAGTTTAAAAGAAGACTGGATTGCTTACATTTGCCGAGAAATCCTTCAGGTGAAATTTCATATTGTCCTTCTTCCCTGACCTTGAAGATCCTGGAAGTTATATATAAAATGTACCTTCTTTATATCTGCTCACATATGGTGGTTTAAAAATTCTAAATATAGGGCCTCCTTGGTAGCGCAAGGGATTAAGACACAAGCTATGAAGCTGTCCATAGCCTCTGTAGCACGTGTTCTATCCCCGGCGGGTTAGGGAGCAACCCACATGGCACAGCAGACCTCTCCTGACTCGCCCGCTGCTCCCCTCAGCAGTGTACTTCGGTCAATCTGCCTGTTCTGTTCCCCACTCTGTCTCTGGTGAATCCTCTCACCCTCCGCATCTCTGGCCTGTACCCCAGCTCTTGTATGCATAAATAAATAAATCTTTAAAAAAAGAATTCTAAATATAACCTCTGATCAGGATGCCAAAAAGACCAAAAGGCAGAGAAAGCAGATTTTTCAGGTGATGTCCTTAAACTAAGTTAGACCTCAAGATGGATAACCAGGTCCTTACAAATCATGGCCATTCATGGCTCTGTCAGTGTCAGACTGTTGTGTTCAATAGACCATGGAAATGAGTGCTTGGAGCACTTTTTATGTTATTATGATTTTCAGATAGGTTTTTTTAAGAAGCATAGCACTGTCATTAGTGATTAAGATGAAGGTGAGGCACGATATGTCAGTATTTTACAGGACAGACTCAAACCATGTGTATCCATTTTGTACACATATCCTTTATTGAATAATGCCCACTTCAAAACTTTCCTTATTTTGAACACCAAATTAAATGAGAGATTCAATCTTCTTGATCTACCAAACTCAAACTTTTCTTTGTGGTTTAACTGTTAATGGTCACCCAAAAAGGATTTTTTAAAAAGATTTATTTTATGCATACAAGAACTGGGGTACAGGCCAGAGGTGCGGGGGTGAGAGGATTCACCAGGGACAGAGTGGGGAACTGAACAGGCAGATTGACTGAAGTACACTGCTAAGGGGAGCAGTGGGCGAGTCAGGAGAGGTCTGCTGCGCTATGTGGATCACCTCCCTGGCTGGGGATCGAACTCATGCTGCAGTGGCTGTGGACAGCTTCATCGTGCTGAGTCTTAACCCCTTGTGTTACCAGGGAGGCCCCCCAAAAAAGATTATTAATAGAACTGAGCAGCACCACCAATAACAACATTAGAACATCCTTCCTCTCACCTTGTTGACTTCACTTGTGGTAATAGTGTGAAGAGCACAAACTCTGGGCTGAGTTAAATTCTTGTCCATCATGTATTAGCTAAGTTTCTTTGAGTCAGCTGTTTTATTTCTCTAAATCTTACTTTCCTCATATGTAATATTGTCACCTTCCTCCACGGATTGCTATGAGGATTTAATAATTTATTCCATGTAAGCACTTAGCATAGTACTTGGCAAAGACTAGGGACTCAATAAATATTAACTGTTTTTACTGTTACTTCTATTATTTTCCAGTCAGTATCTGGAGCAATCTCATTGAAGCCAGGTCACGGGTTAGTCAGGTCACCAGTTAGTTTTAGTGGTGAATGGGCTGGAGCCAGCATGGTAAGCCAATACAAATTGCAAATGCTTTAAAATGAATTTCCATGTTTCATCAAATTCTCAGCCTACAAGGTTGACTAGAAAATATTTTGGACTAAACAAGTGGTTGGATGATGAATAGAGCAAAACAATGTCTGAACTATGATATTTAAGATGTCTAAGTTTTTACTCTTATGGTTTGTTGAAATTATAGAGGCAAGAAAGAAAGGTAAATGGCCCAATGTATACAAACATTTCTTTTTGGTGTTCTTTTTCTTTCATGGGTGTCCTGATTTATTTTCCTTTCCTTATAGCCAAAAGTAGTATTTCTGGGAACTGGTTGTAGTGATTCCAGCCTAAAGAAAGAATTTTGTCTGAAAAAATCAAATCTGGGCCATTTTTCTTACCAAAAGACTTTCCAAAAACACTAAGAACAGTACCAGAAGAGAGAAAAATAAATACTAATGTGAATATTTTTAATATAAATGTGTGTATGTATGCAGGGCTTAGCTCATCTTCATGCTCACCGTGTAATTCACCGGGACATCAAAGGTCAGAATGTGCTACTGACTCATAATGCTGAAGTAAAACTAGGTAAGTTTATTTTTGCAATACTTTAATTGAGACCCAGTGTACCTTAATGGAGAAAAATCCTTTATGATAACTGTATTTTCTGTCACATCACTTTTGAGGCTATGTCTTCATACTGCAGAGCCAGTCAAAGTTTGAAAATTTATTTGGAAAGAAAGGTAAGGCAGGTGAAAGATACACCTAACTGCTTCTCTGAAATCATGCAGATAGAAACAACTTTTAAATTATATGGAGAAGTTTATGTTTGGGTCATTCCTCATTTCAACAATTGAATTGAGTATTGACCATGTACAAGTTTCTGTGCCTTGCACGGGGATTTAAAAACGGCAGTTCTTCCACACCACAGAACCACATTCTCCAAGGATATCAAAGAACTTTTAAATGACATAAGTACAGGTTGCTTCTTTGGAATTTTTCCTCAAATATTTAAAGAACGGGTGTCAATTAAAAATGATGTGCCAGCAATATCCAAGTCAAATTCAGAATTAGAAATCTAAAGACCATAAAGTCTCTGACTTTCTACTCCAGAATTCAGAATGACATACTTTATTTGAAAATAACCACATACATTATTTGACAGGCACACAGGGAACAATATATTGCATCCTTTAATGTTTAAAGTAAATACTGTTGGTTGGATTTAAATAGTGCCATATAAATAATGTCAGTACTAGGTAACAGCAGATAACCCCATTGATATAGAACACAAATCATTGCTTCTGTATCCTGTATTATTTTTAAAATTATATCAATTCTTGCCTATCATATCTCTAGCATGACCTTAAGATAGTTTCCATTTTCCTGCTAAAAGAAAATATACCAGAGTAGAGACTTTGTTCATTCATTGAGAATTCTTCATGAAGTTAGGGAAAAGTAATTTCAAGAAAATGTATTACATATTGTGTCTAAAAATTACAAACCTAGAAACATAATTTTAGCACACTGTTAAAATATATTGGGAGCATGGAGCTCTCTGAGTCAAACGTGCAAGATAGATAATCTGCTGCAAGCTGCACTCTGTTCACATGTGGCAGCTCTGCCATATATTTGAGTCAGATTGGCCCAGCCTACCATTTGCAGTGCAGCAGAGAAATTGCTAAGTAAGTGAAAAGCCACTGAAAAATCTGCCTCAAAGTCCATACATTAAAATTCATATATATATATATATTACTCTAAAAGAGAGACATTGTAACACTTGATTAGCATTTAATCAGACTTATTTTTAAACGTAATTTCATCTTAGATTTCTCATATTACAACCTACTTTTAGCAATGTATTATAAGGAAGTTGGAGAAGGCAAGCCCAATGATAGCCAAAGGATGGTAGAAAACAAAAAGATTGGAAAATCATTGTGTTTCAATTAAAATTCATCAATAGTCCTGATATTCTGGTCCCTAGATCAGTAAAGAGGAAATGTTAAATTATGCCGCTCATCTCTTTTTTTAATTTTGACTTTTCTTTTCCACCTTTTCTTCCATTCACCACTCTTTTTTCTCAGCTTTCTTCTTTCATTTTCTCCCCTGATTGTCTTATGGCCTTTATGGGTATTTCTTGGCCCCTGAGTTGGCTGTCAGGGATACTGAGAATAATAGTCTGATTTAACCTATCTAGTCTCAAAAAAAAAATGCCCAGTTAATTTAATTGTCTAACACCAAATAATGATTTTGTGGACTTGATATTATGGACATTATTTTTTGTTCTTCTTAGATCCTTCCTTAAAGACTGTCTTCAACTTTCAACTTTTTTCTTGTTCTTTTATTCTTCTAAATTCTTTAAACTACGCTTCAGTTAATGTTGTTCTCCATCCTCTAGATTCCTGGAAACCATTCTAAATTAGAAAATCAACTTCATTTTTCATCCCTGTCTTATTTTTTCTGGACTAAATATTCCCAGTCTACTTTGGCCTTTTTTTTTCTGTCTGTTTCTGAGGATACCATACTAAATATTTTCATATAATATATTCCATAGATGAATAAAAGACTGAACTTTCATAGTTTAAGCTAAGATTTGGATACCACAGCAAATGTTTACATCTGATTCAGAAGATCTATACAACTTAAAACTAAATTCTAGTGGAAAAGTCATTTTTATCAGTGTGATAGGACTTTCTAATGTCATGAGTGAGTCTCCTAATGTTTTAGAATTCTTAGATGTTGCTAGTCTTACTTTGGCTTGGTGGCAGGTCCAAACACTACATATGTTATCACTTCAGAGGTGGAATTTTATTTTTAATATTCATGGTAAACATTCAGCCAAACCTACTGCAGATTTATAATAGTACTGCTGAGTCTATTTCCAACATAAATAGCGGCAAAAGCCTACTTCCCAGTATTTCTGGAGTAAACTTCATGGTAAAGTTTGCTGGGCTGGAATGAAAATCTGTTATCCATTGTGGCTTTTGTATTGGCTCTCCAAGTTAAAGCAATGACTTATTGAGCTTTTTGTTACTGATTAATTACTTTGACATATACTGAATTTTGCAGTGGATTTTGGAGTGAGTGCCCAGGTGAGCAGAACTAATGGGAGGAGAAATAGCTTCATTGGAACACCATACTGGATGGCTCCTGAGGTGATTGACTGTGACGAGGACCCGAGACGCTCCTATGATTACAGAGTAAGTGTGAGGAGTCAGACAGTGGGAATCAAAATTTGCAAGGAACTTTTGGCTAATGTTTATTTTTTAATGATAGAATAAAAGATTGAGGCAGGCAGTTTACCCCCTTCACATTAAACTGTAATAGGTAGGAAATACTGTTACTGTATGTGATTTGATCATATGCATAAAATATTTTCTTAGAATGTATACAAAGTAGACCATTGGGAGTTATCCATATATGAGGAAAAATGTCCAGTTTATACTGTTTGCATCTTCATGGTAAAAATATTATATTATGTGGCTTTATATGGAAATTTAACTTCCAGCGAAAGAGGGCTCTGTAAACTTAAAAATGAATAAATGTAAAGCCAATTATTAACTTCCACAGTAACTTAGCTCCAAAAAAGAAAAAAAATAATTTGATTATGCAGGGTAATGGAGAAAATCCTTGGCATAGTTCACCTCCAAACCACAAAACATCAGTGGAATAGACAAATTAAGTAACAATTCATGCTATTTATTAAAATTTCCACTGAAGCTGCAGTTTGAACAATATACATCTATGTACACATTTCAAAAAGCTGATGTGGAAAGAAAACTCTCCATTTGCTATAGACTGGAAAAACCACATTCACTCTCCACATCATAAGTCATCCAAACAATTCATTGTGGTTTCAGTATGTGGAACCTAGGACTCGATAGTTGAAGTTGATTAATTTAAGCTTCATCTCTTTTTGCTTTCCCTTAAATGCCCTTTGCTTGATCTGCAACCAGATCTATTGAGAGCCTATTACAGTCCAGTGCTATAAGAAGCTGTGGAGATTATGGAAGCAGAATGTTCTTTAAGGGGCTTGCTGTAAAAATAAAGCTTGGTAGCTGCAGAGTTTGTGCCGTCTTCCAACTACCCATATAAAATAATTAATTTTTATTTTTTAGCCCCATGTAATTTAAAGAAGTTTAAACTTACACTATCACATCCACCCTTTGAAGCCAAGAGATCTATAAACTGGGGGTACTAAGAATTCAGTTAACTGCTTTAGGAATCAAACAGCCAGCCATTATACTAGTAGTCATGAGTGTTCTAAAAAACAAATAGTGGTAAAGATAATCTTATAGAGCCTCCTAAATTATAATTTCTTAGGAATTATAATACTTCTATCCTCAATTTACTATATTCTAAGAATTGCTGAAAGTGCTTTATTAATGTTATTTAATTTAATACACATACCAATCCTTTGAAGCAGAGGCATTATTGTCTCCATCTTTCACAGAGTAAAATTGACATACAGAAATATCAATTATTTACCCAGGATCACATAGCTGGTAGGTCCATGGCCTAGGACTTCTTTACAGCAGATTCATCTCGGTATTTCATTAAACTGAGCCCCACCTTATATCAGCCTATTGTGTAGTATAGTATTGGCTGGTCTGAAGCTCAAATAATGTCATCCTATAATGTCAATCTATAAATAAGTTTCACTATAGAAAATCCATAAAATACTTCTGACAGTGATACCCCCCATCAGCCAAAGATTGATTTGAGACTTTAGATATTATCAGTTTCCCATTTTTAAGTGTTATTGTTTGTCATCTTTTCCTTTGCAGAGTGACGTATGGTCTGTGGGAATCACTGCTATTGAAATGGCTGAAGGGGCTCCTCGTAAGTAAAAATGTTTGATAATTATTATAGGTTAGGGAGACACGCTGTACAAATCTGTGTCTCCAGAATATGAGATTGCCACTTGTACTAGTCACCTTATATAAGTGCCACAATGTGTGCCAAATTATAAGTGATGGCCTTTTCAGTGATTACCAAATGCCTTAGTCAGAATGGCCAGATATGGACATAAAAAGAGCTTTGCTTGTCTCTCTTATGGTATCTTATTTTAGGCTGATTGAGTGCTGTTTCAATGATATCAGTAGCATTTCTGATAGTCCTGACCAACCAGAATCCAAAGGCGTTCCAGTGCACATGCAGTGGCAGAATATTTAGGTTGCAGAACATTCACAATCACACACTGGTACTACTTCAGACTGTGACAGTTTAGAAAATCCTCCAGTGGTTCATTAAAATTGAGCCAATCCTCAACAATTTGGGGAAGGAAACTTTTTTAGATTTTGGAATCAGTTCAGCTCCCCTTCAGTGCCTTCTAGGTTGCTTTCAGTTACCCCAGTGCCCTTAATCACTCAGAAGGCTCCATTTCCTCTTGTTTTCCCCTCTTCCACATTATTTAAATGACTTGTCAGCATCCTGTTCTCTCAGGACACTGCTTTCTGGTAGGAAAGTAAAAATGGAATGTGAACTTAGATATAAACGATTGCAAGCCACCTCATGTATGACCCCATAAGCATAGCACATTTGCTGTCCTTGGTAATAAATCCAAAGGTATACGTGGTAAACACATTGGATGAGAAGTGAAATAAAAGCCTGGAGTATGCGTGGGGGTAGGGAGGCAGAATTGCTTGGCTCCCCCTTCTCCAGGCAGATCCTGTAGGTTCCCATGGCTCCACAACTTCCCTGTGCACGATGTCCACCCACCAAGCTTTATATGCTCGGATTATCATAGCAATATGTTTCAAGGCCGATGGGAATAATTTTGAACAGGAGAAATAGTAGTCACATAATTGTTAAGAATTCCTGGTGTCCATTGGAATATCACAGTAGGGGGCAGGGGGTTGGTGCTGGGATTAAAGCTGGGACAGATGGGGAGATCAGGTTGCTACTGCCTCCGTGCTAGTGCCCAATAAATTACGAAGTATGTTGGGTGAGTAAAAAATAAATGATGGAAAAATATATGTGGCATATATAAAATTGAAATGACGCTGAGGAGATGCATTACTATTGTTCATCATCTCTTGTTATAAATTCTTTGGGAACCTGAGATTATATTAGATTGCTGCTAACTGATGCTGCTCCTTCTTTCTCTCCTCTTGAAATACACAATATGGTATTTCAGCTTAGTATCAATGCATATTTTTCATGAGGATACATGACTGCATCAAGCAGTATATATTTTTTCTGTTGTTTCTGAGTATTCTTCACCATGCTTCAAAGAACTAGCTTTCTATATTTTGCAGATTTGTACTTCTTAGTTATCTTTTTTTGTTTCACTTTTGGATTCTCAAATATTAAGTCTTGGAAGAAAAAGGGGGCAATGAGCTAAATCACAGAGTGGGTGCAGAGAAAGTGTGTGCACAGAGTACACAAATGGCAAGCTTCACACAAGGAAGGGGGGGATTCTTAACTTACAAGGAGAGGAAATACTACTAGCATGACTGGACAAGTACTGAAATGTTGCACATTTGGTCAGGAGCAACTTGAAATAGCCATCCTGCTAAAACATTTCTCTTTCACCAACCTCCTTTATTACTTGGAATATTATTTTGGATTGAGATTATTGCCTCTATTTAACTGCAGAAGTCCTCCAGTTTATAATTATATTCACAGAAGAGATGGCCTTCCAAAATGACAGCTATCTGATCATTGCCTCTGAGATCCAGATAATAAAATTATTTCCTTTCATTGGTGAATTTCTCCCAGAGAAGTAAAGAGAGGAAACGTCACTTCTCAATGAAAGAGTGCTTATAGGGGCTCTCAGAGGAGAGAAGATCTGGGCCATGGCACATAGGACCTTTTTAGGTTCTGTCTAATGGGTAGGATTCAACTTACTGTGGAGACTTTAAAGCAAAGCTATACTATTACTAGTAACTACTCAAACATCAAAATATCATAGACTGATTAATATTGAATAAATGCAGTTCTTACTTTCTCTACTGTATATAGAAAAATGAGTCTTTGCTTGATGAGAAGCAGGATAGAGATGACGATTTAATTTGACTCTCTTTCCTTGTCCAGAATCTACACCAGCCAAGTTACTTTAATGTGATCCATATCTTTCCCTATTTTGTCATTCTCCTTGGTATTGTAAAGATTATTTTTAATATTGTCAGCCATGCTTGTTTATAGTCTTTGTAGTAGTATCTCTCCATTCTTCACACTTCAAATCAATCATTACCTGAGTAATTCAAATTTTCTTCTGTCCCATCAGGAGACCCATTCTTTCAACATTCAAAAGATTCCTTGAGATCTCAACATATATTAGAAATAAACCACATTATATAAACTAAAGGAAATTGCCCCCAATTTAATGTTTCCAACCTATCAAGAGTGATAACCATAAATAAGGTTTACTATTTCAAAGAAATGCATCTCTAATGGTAAAATGTTAGGTAGTGTTAGGAGATCTGAGGTGAAGGGGGCATTTACTGGCCTTCCTATAATTGAACCATATACAGAACCTTCACTGTTGCTGTTTGACAAAGCTCTTGTACCCAACCTGTGCTCACTACTTTGTGAACTTCTCTTTTACTCTATTTCCTAATATTTTTTCCCTTTGGAAATATAACAATTTTTTCTTTATTATTTTTTCTGTAACTTTGTTTTACTAAAGTAACTTTAGTTTACAACACTGTATATGATTTTATTCCACTGTATGGGAATAAGGTTCACAATTCTTCAAATATGTTAAGACATCACACCACCACCAAAGCACCCATAATCCTCCACCATAGACCATTGGGCCCCTGCCTGCTATGATCCTTATCCTCCACCCTCCCTCCCTAGCAGTGTCAACTCTACAGTCATATTTCCAGGATTTGTTTTGTTTTGGTTTTGTCTGTTCCTTTGTTTTGTTTCTTTATATTCCACATATGAGTGAAATCATATGAGTGGACATAGAAGATTTGGTACATATACACAAGGGAATACTACTCACCTATAAACAAAAATAAACTCTTGCCATTTGTGATAACATGGATAGAACTGGAGGGGATTATGCTAAGTGAAATAAGTCAGAAGGAAAAAGGCAAATACTTCTTAACTCTTAATCCCACATAACATTGTTAGCTGACTGACTGATGCTCAGATGTTAATAAATGACAACTGGTTAATATTTAAAAACTTACAAGTAGTGTTTAAAGAGCATAACCTCATGACTGATTGGACATGGTAAAGTAATGAAGAGTCAAATACACTCCTGATCTTTTGAGCTTGGGGCTAATTTTGCCCTCACTTATAAACCTGCACCTTCTATTAATTGATGCTTAAGTAATTGAAATAAAAGTTTGACCTTTAAACAATTGCTTTTATGTAGCTCTAGGTAAAATCTCTGTGGGAATTTTTTTCTACTACTATGACACACCAGTTTAACATTAGAGTTTTCTGGGATGGATATTGGGTGACAAAGGATGACTCTAAAAAAGCCATTAATATTATACATCTTCACGTGAATGTAGTGTTAGATGAAATTTACACTATGGCTCTCTTGTGGGGATTTTTGCATTGCCAGTTTGTTTTAATAAAAACACAAGAGAAAATAAGTGAAGTGAGACACATATATAAATACTTAAAGAAAAGCCTAGAATTCCCAAGCCAATGATGTAATGAATTTATGCAGCACATCTTGGAATAGACTTTTCTCTGTATGGCTGTGTGTTTAAAAAAGAGAGTAAAAGTCCAGTAGTTTGGCACAGATTTGAAGTGCCAGATAGTTAATATCTTTATTATAATATCAATAATTAGTATTTATTTATTGCTTGATCTGTGTCAGACACTTTTACAGGTAAATTGCCATTTAATCCTCATAGCATTTCTTGAAAGAAATTGTTGTTATAGTTCATTTTTTTTTCAGATGAAGAAACTGAGGCACAGAAAGGTTAAATAATTTGTCCATGGTCATAAAAGCAGAGCTAGGAATTGAACCCAGGTGATCTTATTCTAGAGGGTGTGTGCTTCACAGTTTATGTACACTGTATTTACCTCTTTCCTCAGCTTCCAAAACAGAGTCTTCTCAACTTTTGAGGCTACTGATATATTATATATTATTGTGCTTTATTTATTATTGTGCTTGGGAACTATTGTGCTTTATATATTATTGTGCTTGGGGACTAATCTGGTTGACTTTTTCAGCCTATAATTATAGATTCCAGTTTTACAATTCCAGATATCTACAATACAAAACATAGAATAGTGTATGTTTTCATTTTTTATTTACTTCTCTAGATATAAATCATCACACTGATTTGTGTGACAGAGAATCCCTTTTGTAATGAAGAGTGTGCTCTGCAGTTCTTATTGTTAATTTTAAACTTTTCTATTTCCCTTTACAGCCCTGTGTAATCTTCAGCCCTTGGAAGCCCTCTTCGTTATTCTGAGGGAATCTGCTCCCAAAGTCAAATCCAGTGGATGGTAAAGATGAATGTCTTAATCAACTAAACACATTAACTTGACTTTTTTTTATGTAATGGAGAAGTTTTAATTCAGTTGGTTTGCCCTGTTTCAACATCCTGTTGAACAATATTTCCTCAAAACCAGAACCTTAATGGGGGGATGTAGGAAGGTGGTACCAGTTCTAAATAACCAGTTTTCACTAAGAGCTAGCTAGCCAACTAGAAATAAATAATACCCTCCATAGCATATTGTGATGGCACTACTGACCTGTCATTAAAGACATATTGTTTCTCCAGTAATGTGGGTCAGTGGAACTGTTTATAACCTTTCTCACTATGCCCTAGATAGACAGTGATTGTGATATACAGCCCAGTTATCTGCCCCATCCAAAGACATTGAGCAGAGAACTTGTTTTCCCAGGGTGTTACAGGCTAACTAGAGGACCTTTCTCACTAAACCTTAATGGTCTAGTATTTGCATCTCTTGTTTATTCTTAGTATTTAATGCTTGCTCTGGTTTGATTGCTGACATTCTCCCTTGTGATTTTATTTAACTCTTTCTACAAATTCAGGGTTTCTGTTAGTTAGTCCTGGTGCTATGAATGCCTTTTTGGATCATTACATCTATGCCTCTATAGCTAAAGGTGCAGAGAGTCTAATGAAACATTCATACTTCAAAGTGTAAATACTGTGAGCTGACTGATCTGTCTTATGGTCTACATGTAGCACATGGCACTTAATTGCCATTCTACCACTTGACTTTTCACTATGTGCATTTTACTGAACTCACTGAAATTTCTCCTGTTATTTGGGTGGAAAATGCCTTTGATCTGACCTCTTCTTAGGATTGAATGGCATTGTTGTATAATGTATATTGTCAAGCTGCAGGATATTTAGCATCTGAAAGGACAATTATAGCTAGAAGTAACTCGAAAAATATGATCTTGCTTAGGTGGAGGGAGGAAGACGATATGGCAGGCCTGATTATGCGCTCTTATCTCTTTGATTCATTTCTTTTAGGTCCCGCAAGTTCCACAATTTCATGGAAAAGTGCATGATAAAGAATTTCCTATTTCGTCCTACTTCTGCAAACATGCTTCGTCACCCATTTGTTCAGAATATAAAAAATGAAGGACATGTTGTTGAGTCATTAAAGAAGCATCTTATTGGCATTATTAAAAAGAGACAGAAAAAAGGTAGAATCTGAACTTTTCATTTTTCTAGAATTACTATTTAGATAAGAGCAGGTTTTTTTTTCTTCAAGAAAAATAATATTTGCTTAAAATTAAATGTAAAGTAGAAATTCTAAGGCTTTCAATATTGTTTTTCCAATGTGCCTTGTACATTTAATTCATTCTCTCCCCTGCAAGTGTGTGTGTGTGTGTGTATACTTATATATGAACTGTGTGTGAGTGTGTGTGTGTATATATATATACTTATACATACACATATATTTATACATCTATACATACACATATGATTATAAATTGTTGCCAGTTATACCTGAAAACTGTTCATATTTACAAAAACATTGAAAGCCACAGGAAGAATTTTGTGATGTGCTAATTTGAAGAAAACTCCTAAATTAAAGAAATAAAATAAATAAGAAGATAACAAACTCTGTATCTTTTTTTTTTTTATTTTTTTTTTATAGAGGCATGTTTTATTTATTTATTTGTTTGTTTGTTCGTTTGTTTCGTTTATACATGCACTGGGTACAGTCAGAAGCACAGGAGGGTGAGAGAATTCACTAGAGCCAGAGCGGGGAGCAGAGCAGGCAGAAGGACAGAAGTACACTGCTGAGGGGAGCAGCGGGCGGCAGGAGAGGTCTGCGCGCCATGTGGGACCCTCCTCTGGTGGCCGGGGAGCAGCCGGGGATCGAACCGGCGCCACAGAGGCTGCGGGCAGCTTCGCAACCCAGCGCTCAACCGTTGCGCCACCGGGGAGGCCCAACAAACTCTGTATCTTAATGTGACTTTTTGTTCATATTTTCAATTATCCCAGTTAGGCTCCTTATTGGTGGTTAATTTGGAAGTAAGGTCTGTGCACCATACTTAATTTTTTTTATCTCCAACTATATGATGTAATTAAAGAACTAATTTATACAAATAAAGTTTCTGTCAACTAATGCCAAAAATAGGACAATGGATTTTCACCAAATCAGTGAAAACTACTTAGGAAGTTCTAATTTTATAGGTTGTGTTGCATATTCCACATTTGGTTTGTGGCACTACAGGCAGTGTTGACAGTGGTGATGGGGGAACCTAGAAAATACAGCAGGCCTTCCTCAGATTAGCGATAGGATTGATTGCAGTGGGTCTTCTTTGTTCTGCGTAAACTGCATGTGTCCTCTTTTGGAGTGAGAAGCAGAAGAAATTTAATTTACTTAACCATTTTGGAACCTTGTCGGACCAACTTCGCAGAGATCAGCCAATCTCAAAAGGATGCAGGGAGACCCACATTTACTTGAACATTTACTAATTTCCAGAGTTGTAATATTTTTTGAAGGCTACCCGCAGTAAAAGTTACATGTATATGGAGAGTGTATGGAAGATGTAAACGTAGTTGCCCTAATTACTTTAATATAGGAAATTCCAAAGAAAACTCTTGTTTATAAGTTTCTATATTTAAGTAGTAATGGCATAGCTGACAGAAAAGAAGTCAAACATTTTCAATGTGTTAAGTGTAAAACTCAGAATTAAGATTTTTACCTTTTCATTGAAAGGAACAAAGATGCTGATACTCATTGTCAAAAATCTTCCTTGAGGGCCTCCCCTGTGGGACAGCGGTTTAGCGCTGGGTTGCAAAGCTGCCCACAGCATCCGCAGCGCTGGTTCAATCCCCGGCTGCTCCCCAGCCACCGGAGGAGGGTCCCACATGGCGCACAGACCTCTCCTGCCACCCGCTGCTCCCTCCCCTCAGCAGTGTACTTCAGTCTGCCTGCTCTGCTCCCTGCTCTGGCTCTGTTCAATTCTCTCACCCTCCTGCGCTTCTGACTGTACCCAGTGCTTGTATAAATAAATAAAAATAAATCTAAAAAAACAAACAAAATAAAAAAAAAAACAGTAAAAAAAAAAAATCTTCCTTGAAAAGACCAAAGATAGGTGTGTGCACAAGCCATTAAGTCCTTAGTCTAGAGCACACCTGGGCCTCCCTGATGGCACAAGGGTTAAAGTCTCAGCGCTATCAAGCTATTGCCAGCCACTGCAGCACGAGTTTGATCCCTGGCCAGGGAGCTACCCACGTGGCACAGCAGACCTCTCCTGTCTCGCCTCTTGCTCCCCTCAGCAGTCTATTTCAGGAGATCCACCTGTTCTGCTCCCCACTCTGTCTCTGGTGATTCCTCTCACCGCACCCCCCCCCCGCACCTCTCACCTACACCCCAGTTCTTCTACACAAAAATAAATAAATCCTTTAAAAAAAAAAAAAAAAACTAGAGAACACTTCTTAGCCATGCTCTCCATGACTCACTAACTCTAAACTATCTAGAGTTTATCTTCTCCCTTTCTTCCTTTGCCTTACTCAAATATTTTTCTTTAGAATTGTAGCAATTAGATCAATGGATTTTCTTTCCTATTCAGAGAAATTAGTCTGCATAGAATATCTGCACTCTGCTACAAAAGTGGGCCCAGGAACTAGGATATTGTCTGGATCACCAACCAGTTGTGATGTGAAGATGTACCTTCCAGATTTACTCAACATCCTGAACATTAAGCATGCAAATTGACTAAGGCAGATTACATTAGTCTCTGCTGATTATTTTGCATTATCTTTTCTCTTTCCCAAAAAGGAATACCTCTGGTCTTTGAAAGAGAAGAAGCTATTAAGGAACAGTACACCACCAGGAGATTCAGGTGTGTTAGACAAAATTGCATATCTAATTTGATGTTAGCAATTCATGCAGGGCAGTTGATGCCATACTGTTATATTTAACTTAGAAAAACTTAATTCTTTTTTTTTTAATTTTATTTTTATATTCCCCATACAATTACAACCCCCTTATTTTGACTCCAATCCCTCCTTTCCCCGCCCCCCACTCCCCATAGAGTGTCTCTGGTTCATAGTTGTTTGTTGATTTTGATACTTTCTTTCTTAGAGTTATTCTTTTTCCTGGTCCCTTATTTAAGTTTTCTAGATTCCTGCTATGAGTGAGACCATCCAGTATTTTTCTTTTTCTTTCTGGCTTATTTCGCTGAACATGATCCCTTCCAGCTCCATCCATGTTGCTGCAAATTGCTGTGTTTATCTTTTTTGAATGCTGAGTAATATTCCATGGTGTATATGTACCACATCTTCTTGATCCAGTCATCTATTTTTGGGCATTTGGGTTGTTTCCATAGCTTAGCTATTGTAAACAGTGCTGCTATAAACATAGGGGTGCAGGTGCTCTTTGGAATTGATGTTTCTGTGTCCTTTGGGTAAATACCTAGGAGTGGAATTGCTGGATCATATGGAAGCTCTATGTTTAGTCGGTCAAGAAATCTCCACACAGCTCTCCATAGTGCTTGGACCAGTTTGCACTTCCACCAACAGTGCAGGAGAGTTCCTTTTTCTCTACAACCTTGCCAACATTTGTTGTTGCTAGTTTTTTTAATATGTGCCATTCTCACTGGTGTAAGATGGTATCTCATGGTAGTTTTGATTTGCATTTCCATGATTACAAGTGATGTTGAACATTTTTTCATATGCCTGTTGGCCATTTGCATTTCCTCTTCAGAGAAGTTTCTTTTTAGTTCTTCTGCCCATTTTTTGACTGGATTATTTTCTTTGTTTTTGTTGAGTCTCATCAGCTCTTTATAGATTTTTGTGATCAGTCCTTTATCATCAGTGTTGTGTGCAAAAATGGTCTCCCAGTCGGTGGGGTTTCTCTTTGGAAAAACTTAATTCTTTTTTTTTTTATTTTTTTAAATAATAGATTTTATTTTTATATTCCCCATACAATTGCAACCCCCCCATTTTGATCCCAATCCCTCCCCTCCCACCCCCCACCCCCCAAAAAGTGTCTCTGGCTCATAGTGAAAAACTTAATTCTTAATGTAACAAATAATAGTTCAATTTTCAAGTGATATTTGAGTGGAAATTTTTCTATTACTACTCAGAGATTCCCTGATATCTGGCAATAGAATGATCAAGTAGATTAGAAAGCCATTAATACTGAGTACATTAATAATACAAATATTTCAGACATACAAGAATGATTCAAGAAAATTTATTGAAAATACCTTCTTTGCAGAAAATATCCATCTTTTGAAATAAAAACATTTTTCCTGAATGGTTTTACTCTACTGGCAATTCTAATTGCTTGGCAATCATGTTTGTTTTTAGAGGACCTTCTTGTACTCATGAGCTTCTGAGACTGCCAACCAGCAGTAGGTGCAGACCACTGAGAGTCCTGCATGGAGAACCTTCTCAGCCAAGGTGGTTACCTGATCGAGAAGAGCCACAGGTGCAGGCACTTCATCATCTACAGGGAGCAGCCAGGGTGTTCACGCCACTAAAGGCTCAGGACAATGGTCCTAGGCCTCTTCAGGGGCAAGCCCAGGCACCACGGCGCCTCCACGGGGCAGCTCAGGTGTTCATGCCACTGCAGCCTCAGATTAAGGCTAAGTCATCTAGGCCCATACCAATGCAGCTCAAGGCACCTCCACGACTTCGTAGGACAGCCAAGATGCTCATGCCACTACAGGCTCAGGTTAAGGCACCTAGGCCTCAACAGATACAGGCCCAGGTACCCAAAGAGTGTCAGCCCCAGCCCCAGGCCCAACCCCAAGTGGTAGAAAAGCCACAGGATCTGGACCAGGTACCAGAGGAATTTCAGAGGCAAGATCAGGTACCTGAACAACAAAGGCAGGGCCAGGCCCCTGAACAACAGCAGAGACAGAACCAGATACCTGAACAGCAAATGGAGCAGAACCAGGTACCCGAACAGGCAGAGGTACAGGAACAGGCTGCTGAGCCCCCACAGGCAGAGACTGAGGCAGAGGAACCTGAGTCTTTACGAGTTCATGCCCAGGTGTTCCTGCCCCTACTGTCACAGAACCACCATGTGCTGTTGCCACTACACTTGGATACTCAGGTGCTCATTCCAGTTGAGGGGCCAACTGAAAGGTCACCACAGGCACAGGCCTGGGCTCTAGAGCCCCCACAGGCAGTTGGCTCAGTGCAAGCACTCATAGAGGGTCTTTCAAGAGATTTACTTCGAGCACCAAACTCCCATAACTCGAAGCCACTTGGTCCACTCCAAACTTTAATGGAAAACCTGTCGTCAAACATATTTTACTCTCAGCCAGAGCAGGCACGTAAGAAAAAATCAAAAGTTTCTAGTCTGAGGCAGGCATTGGCAAAAAGACTATCACCAAAGAGGTTCCGAGCAAAATTATCACGGAAACCTGAAGAGTTTGAGCTCTCAGATTTAGAAGCCCGCAGGCGAAGGCGCCAGCGCAGATGGGAGGAGATCTTCAATCAGCATGAGGAAGAATTGAGACAAGTTGCAGACGTAAGAATTTCTGATATTTTTACTGAGTTGAATATGCAAAGAAAATATGCTGGTTAGTTCATACTCGTATTTTCCCTCTGTAAAGTCAAATGAAATAGAAATCCCCTGTGTCCCAGAGATTAACTAATTTGTCTTTCAAGTAAATTATCCTGAAATTTCGAGATAACTGTGACTAAATTTGAGAAAGAAAAGTTTGCTTCAGCAATTCAGGCAATTGCTTAATATTTCGGTAGAGATTTCATTCTGATTATTAGTTTTCTACCTATTATTCCCATAACTAGTAAAAGGATATCATATTCGCATTTAAAATTGTTTTGTATCTTTAAAATTACTTTCATAATAAAAATTTTCAGATGTAACTCCATAGAAAACACAAGAGAAATTTGGTTTTATTTCTCTAACCTCAAAGTTTCTTTATTCTTTTTTCCTGTATAGTGTTGAGCTCTACCATTTGAGTGAATTGTACTAATTTTTGTACTCAGTTATGAGTTAATCAAACTTTACACCACATATTCTTTTTTTTTTTTTTTTTTTATTTATTTATTTGTTTGTTTGTTTGTTTGTTTTGTTTATACATGCACTGGGTACAGTCAGAAGTGCGGGAGGGTGAGAGAATTCACCAGAGCCAGAGTGGGGAGCAGAGCAGGCAGAAGGACCAAAGTACACTGCTGAGGGGAGCAGCGGGCGGCAGGAGAGGTCTGCGCGCCATGTGGGACCCTCCTCCGCTGGCCGGGGAGCAGCCGGGGATCGAACCGGCGCCGCAGAGGCTGCGGGCAGCTTCGCAACCCAGCGCTCAACCGCTGCGCCACCGGGGAGGCCCTACACCACATATTCTTAACCTGGATCTAGCACATGAGCTGCAGGAAGTCAGTGATCCCCCTATAAAATATATGCAGACATGTGTTTGTATATGCAGTTTTCCTCAGATTCTGAAATGGATGCAGAGACAAAAACTGTTAGAAACTAATGATTTAAGTAAATTTTGATATTTGAAATTATTAAATTGTATATTAGGATACTATTACAGTTGCTCCTATCATTTGCATTTTAAAATAGAAGCTTTTATTTTCCTTTTTGTTTCAAAGGACAAAGAAGATGAATCCTCAGACAATGATGAAGTATTTCATTCAATTCAGGCTGAAGTCCAAATAGAACCCTTGCAGCCGTACGTTCCAAATACTAAAGGAAATGATGTAAGTTTCTCAGTGAGTTAGCTGTGGCATTAATACATGCCTACAACGGTGGTTCTTTTTTGTTCATTTTAAAAATTATGTTTTCTGAGGTAATGATGGTTTGCACTGGCCTTCTATTGCTAATTTAATGTAGTTTTTATTTTATTACGTTTTAATTGTATTATTTTTTATTAAAGTAATGTTTGTATACAACACCATACGTAATTTGAAGGTACAGGATCATAACTCTTCAGTTGTGTGTCACCACACCACACCCAATGCCAGGGCACCCGTAGTCCTCTAGGATAATCCATTAAATTTCATGGTCTTCGGTCTTTTCATACACTTAAGCGTTGAAGATGCCAGAAAACTTGTTTACCTGGATTCTGTGATTCAGTATTTAATTTATTAGAAATTAAAGCCAAAAAAATTAAAATGTGTATTAATTTGAAAAGTAATAAAAGCATTACACGTTAACCTAATAAGCACATTTTTAATGAAAAATAACTATATTTTCCATCTCACTTAATGGAAAACAGCTGGATTTTCATATCTGCTTCTGTTGCCATATGTTGTTTAAATTGAAATATATGAGCAAAAGCTGGCTTCTCACATATAGATGGTTGGAAAGAAAGAATTTTCATAGCTCTTCAGATAATTGTGGATATTTTTAATATACCCAAACTAGAGAAGTTGGATTTAAAGCCATGTCAGTAAAATTTTGTATACACGGTAATATTAACATCCAGTGGTTGGTTTTATGCTGTGAATAGTTTGCTCATACATGATTTTGTATTTTCTTGCTTTGGCCAGTTTGAAATCATTGGTTCACTTTATATATATAAAGATGTTTCCAAATGTTTTCACATTTCATTATAAAATGCCATAAGTAGCATTTTTAAATACACTTGTCGATTTTATTAAAATTATTGAGTACTGATAATTTGTTAGATCTGGACTTGGCAGTCTGTTGTCAGTGCACTGTGGTTGGGGGTGGGGGAGTGTGAGGGAGTGTGGTCGCTGTTTTCCTTCTTACCAGGGTCCTACCCTGTCGGGAGCACTCCAGCTCCTTCATAGGGGCTTCACCTGATCAAGGGTGGTGTGCCTCCACACCCTTTTCACTCTCCCCTTTCTAGTACACCAGCTGATCCTACAACATGTCATCTGTGTCCCAACCCTAGACCACAGACTCCAAGCATTTCTGTCTACCCACTCTCTGTCCAATGAGGTATGAATATGTCCCCTCTGGGACCAATCTGTGTTGGTCTCTGAGATGCAAGGGGTGCTTCAATCTTAACCCCAAACTTCATGATTCACTCAGTGTAGTGTCCCTCTGGTAAATTGTTAGATGTTCCACTTGGGAATGAAGCAGGAACCCCTTTTTGTCATTAAATGAAAACTTTGCCATTACTCAGGTAACAATTATTACCTTAAGCATGACATCTTAAGCAGAAAATACAGTGAGCTGTGACTGGTTTGGAATACATCATTTACCGTAGCGTCTGATTTACTTAGTTATCATTCCCTTCTTTCCCATTTCTCAGACCAAATACAATCAATCATATTAGGCATTGGTCTTTCTTATTTTGAGCCTTTATTTATTCTGAGTAATTTTGACTTCTCATTCACTCATATCAATAAACATTCTGAAATCATCTTCGTGAACCAGGAGGTCTAGACTGGGTCATTTTATGATGCCAGCAATCTGAATCAAAAACAGGAGTCTTCAGTCAGATGCATGTCTTGCATACTGCCAAACATCTGGTTGTATTTGCAAACACTCATTAGCAAAACATGTGAACATTCGACAGTTTTAATTTCTTACCTACCCATCTGTTGGAGTGTGAAGACAAACTTGATAAGTCACTGGACAGAGAAAAAAAAAAGTGTAGGTGGAAATTCTATGGGGACTATACCTGAGAAAAGAAAGCAAACATTGCAAAAAAAATGAACAATCATGTAAAATTAAAATATACCAAAATAAATAAATTATTAAAAAAGAAAACTACAGAGTGATTTTTATCAGCATGAAAATATAAGATACTTTTTAAAAAGTAACATGAATTTTCCTTTCTAAATAATCTAATGTGACTTCCTAGTTGAATGACATAATGACTTTTCCTTTGGTAGTTAAATACATTTGGGTAGAAACCTAGTGACACAAAAGTAAATGAGGAATGGCGACATTCCATGGGCCCCTCTACTAATGTTGACAGAAAGTAAATTTTCCCCAGCAGTGGAAGCTGGCTTATTATATATGCTTTATCCAGACATTTTTAGTATTAGATGAAGGAATAATGATCAAAATCCAAATTTATTTACTTTCTTTTTTTTTTCATTTTTTTACATCATTGTTCATTTTTTAAACAATATTTGCTTCCCTCCACCCCCACAGGTGTAGTCCCCATAGAGGTTCCTTCACCAACGCATCCGTGCACCATCACCTCAGTCCCCTGTGCTCCTCCCTCCCTCTGATCCCTCTCCCACCTCCTCCCCTGCAGTAGGTCTCTGATTTATAATTGTTTTTGCTTTGTTGTGTTTTGTAGTGTTATTTTTTTTTACACTGATGTCTTATTTGGTTCCCCTATATTCTTGCTATAAGTGAAACCATGCGATATTTTTCTTTTTCCTTCTGGCTTTTTTCACTGAGCATAATTCCTTCTAGCTCCATCCATGTTGCTGCGAATGGCTGAGTTTATTTTTTTGATTGCTGAATAATATTCTATTGTGTATATATGCCACATCTTCTTGATCCAGTCATCTATTTGGGGGTATTTGGGTTGTTTCCAGGTTTTACCTATTGTAAATAGTGCTGCAATAAACATAGGTGTACAGGTGTTCTTTTGAATCAATGTTTTTGTGTCCTTTGGGTAGATCCCTAGTGGTGGAATTGCCGGGTCGTATGGTAGCTCCATTTTTAATAGACTGAGGAACTTCCAGACAGCTTTCCAAAGTAATTGGACGAGTTTGCACTCCCACCAGCAATGTAGGAGAGTTCCTTTTCACCACATCCTCGCCAACATTTGTTATTGCTTGTTTTTTTTTTTGATATGTGCCTCACACCTACTGTGTGAGGTGGTATCTCAATGTGGTTTTGATTTGCATTTCCCTGATATAAGGGATGTTGAACATTTTTTCATATGCCTGTTGGCCATTTGCATTTCCTCTTTGGAGAAATGTCTTTTAAATTCTTCTGCCCACTTCTTTTTTTTTTTTTTATTTTTTTATAGAGGCATGTTTATTTATTTGTTTTTTTGTTTGTTTGTTGTTTGTTTACACATGCACTGGGTACAGCCAGAAGCACGGGAGGGTGAGAGAATTCACCAGAGCCAGAGCGGGGAGCAGAGCAGGCGGAAGGACCGGAGTACACTGCTGAGGGGAGCAGCGGGCGGCAGGAGAGGTCTGCGCGCCATGTGGGTCCCTCCTCCGGTGGCCGGAGAGCAGCCGGGGATTGAACCGGCACCGCAGAGGCCGCGGGCAGGTTCGCAACCCAGTGCTCAACCGCTGCGCCACCGGGGAGGCCCTCTTCTGCCCACTTCTTGACTGGATTGTTTATTTTATTTTTGTTGAGTTGTGTGAGTTCTTTGTATATCTTTGTGATCAGTCCCTTATCATTTTTATGGAGTGCAAAGATTTTTTGCCAATTAGTGGGGTGTCTCTCTGTTTTGGTTAATGTCTCTTTTGCTGTACAGAAGCTTTTCAGTTTGATGTAATACTAGGTGTTTATCTTTTCCTTGGCTTTCTTTGCTTTGGGTGATGAGTCTTTAAATAAGTTTTGGAGATGTATGTCTTGTAGTGTTTTACCTATATTTTCTTCTATATATTTTATGGTTTCGGGTCTTATGTCCAGTTCTCTTATCCATTTGGAGTTGATTTTTGTGTACTGTGAGAGGTAGTGGTCTGGTTTCATTTTTTTGCATGTGATGGTCCAGTTTTCCCAGCACCATTTATTGAACAAGCTGTGTTCCATTGCATATTCTTTGCTCCTTTGTCAAAGATTAGTTGTCCATATAAGTGTAGCTTTATTTCTAGGCTCTCTGTTTGGTTCCATTGGTCTGTGTGTCTGTTTTTGTTCCAATACCAAACTGTTTTAATTATTATGGCTTTGCAGTATAGCTTGAAGTTTGGAAGTGTGATACCTCCTTTCTCCTTTATTTTCATCAGTAGGGCTTTGGCTGTTAGTGGTTTTTTGTCAAATTTATTTAGAACTGAAAAAACCCTTGGAACATTGATATGACTTTATAGTGAAAAATCACTCTCTAAAGTGAAAAAATATACATTGTTAAAGATCAGGATACTTTTGACTATTGAGAGATTTTAATTATGTGTACATATGTGTTACAACTTTTGAAAATCTAGAATTAGCTTAAGCAAGTGAGTGAAAAGTTTGGGCTTGGCCTGAAAAGTAATGTGAAAACAGAATTTTTAAAAAATCATTAAATTAGGAGTTGGGTGGCCTACATTCTAGATGTTCTTTAACTTCATGTAACATTCTGGGCTACAGATTTCTCAATAACAAAATGAGGATGTTTATACAATCTCTAAAATGTGTCATTATACTATATAATTCAAGGATACCATTAGAAATCATGGTTAAACAGTTCTAATTTTTTTCCTATAAGTAATAATGAAATTATGGTTTATTTATGAAAATCAGATTTTATATTTTGGATTTTTAGAAAATATCTCTATATGAAAAAGGGTATTTACTTAAAATAATTTATTATCAAGAATTCTATCAAAGTATTGCATTGTGTCTTTAAGGTCCAAGAGAGATCTTCTATGCCTTGCAACCAGGATCGTGCACAGCGGGTTAAGTTCTCTCCAAGGTATGTGTCTCCAATTTCTATATTCAACTACTGATGGTTTATTATCACATGGAAAACTGAAGCTTATTTATTTGACAATGATTTCTGTGTGGAGTCAAAACTCGAATATTGATGACATTGTCATCAATGATATATCAGTGACCAACATTTAAAACCCAAACTGCATTTGTCCATTAAGTAGATCTTTTACATACATTCAGTAGTCCTTTGGACATACTGTAGTCTCAGTGCCATTTAATTTGATAATTGGCCAGTAACCCACAATTCGTTAAAAGAAACACCAATATATTTTTGACAGCTTTCAACTAGCAATTTATGATAAAAGGATCTGAAATTTTCACATGTGCCATTTACTTCATTTTCATGTTTTATCTTGTAGTATCATAAATATCAGGTACTACATGATGAAAAACACACATAGTCCCTAACCTCAGAAGATAATATCCAGAATGGCTAAGTACAAAATGATCCATAGGAAGATCAAATCTGAGACTGAATAAAATATACAATGTGATATTTTATACTAGTCACTGTATTTCTCAATCTCTGTAATATTGGTAATTTTTAGTAGTTTTCAGACATCATGTTTCATGTTTTATGATATATGCAAATTCAAATAGCTTTCAAATATAACACATTAATGTAGACTTTACTTGAAAATCATATCCTCCTCCAACCCCAACTCACAATGAAGAGATCTTAGCCTGCATCATTCATTCAGTCATTCAGTGAATATTTATTGAGCACTTACTTTACTCAAGATACCGGACAGTCTGTACATTCCTACCTCATCACCTTTTAAAATCCCATATATTTAACTGGTGTGCAGAAATCTTGGAAAGCAAGACTGGAAATTTCTCTTCCTCTGCACTTAATGAGTGAATATCGTGGTTCTTCTAATTACAAAGGAAGACCCCAGTTGAGTTTTGAATATCTTCTTTTTGGCATCATAGGTTATCACTTTAATAAAATTCAGTATATTGAAATCAGTATCATTGAATTGTAATTGGTTGTTCAAGTTACAAAAGGATTTTTGAATTTACAAATAGAAAATTTAATTTAAATATAGTTAAATTTATAAAATTAATTTAAATGAAATATGACTCTTTTCCAAAATTTGGGACCATAGAAAAGATTCTTATCTCTTCCAAGCCTATATAACCAAAGTCCTTCCTATAGAGAAACTCCAAAACAACTGTAAAATTTTGCAGAACTGGCCCCAAGCAACTTTTTAAATATTCCCTGAATTTGAATAGTAAAAACTAAAGTGTTCATCCATCTATCTGTTCATCCATCTCTTTCTGTAAGACAGGAATAAGACATTAAAAAACATGAATTATAAGCATCTGCAATCCGGATGATAATGGCAGTAAATTTGACACAATAACTTAGCTTAACAGGTTAAAATCCTCACATATTCTTTTCAATTGTGTTCATCACTATGTTACCTAGTTAATAATAATGTCCAAATATTAGCTTAAAGAAAGTTCATAGGAACTTTTAGAAGTTAATCTGACATGTGAAGGAAACATGTGATATGAAATACTTTTTTATATTTGGGGAATTGTTTCTCTGTTCTAGGTAAAAGCGGGTTTGGGGGGAAATGGAAACTGTAAAGTGTTACTTAAGTTCTAATTCTTTTCGGTTTCATATATACCCATAACTTAAAGCTTTTTTTGTTGGTCTTGATGTTGAGTTGTGCATTCCCTTTATGAATGTTAGGACATGGCACATGCTTTTCTGTTTTTTCATTAGTGTTCCTCATCGGTCTCTTTTGGAACAAGCTCAGAAGCCCATTGACATCAGACAGAGGAGTTCTCAAAATCCTCAAAATTGTCCAGCACCATCAGGTGATTCAAAGCACAAATTTTTAGCAGTCAAATTGTTAATGTTTAACAATTTATACTGCAGAAGTCAAATAAGAATTTTAAGAAGGAATGAATCAAAAGTGTTAGGAAGGCCAAGTAGAATTAAGACCAGGAGGCCATTGGATTTGGCAGTTGGGTAGTCAGTGGTAGCCTTTGAGAAATGGAAAGTTACTTTTCTGAAGTTTCTTCTTTCACTTGGGTAGTACTTGGGAATGTGCCTAGAGAGGAAAAAGGTATCAATTTTATTTAGTTTCTGTACCATGTGTGAAAAATATGGGAAAGGAACTTGGGAGAGGCCTTTCCAACAGTATAAAATTTATAGGTCATCTTTAAAATAGTGGAATATTAGATGGAGCAGTTGTGGGTGTGTGTTTTATTCATCAGTTTGTTACTCCACTTCCTTGAAGTAGGATATATTAAGTACCTCATACGCATCCCTATGTGTTGCAAATTGATATTTTTACTCAAAGCACATGAGAAATCAATCAATAAATTCCTATTAAAAACCTCACAAATGATGATATAAACATCAGACAAGTGTTTTAAGATGTGCTTTTGAGAGAGTTCTGATAAATTGTAGTTCTGTGCAGCTTTTAATTAGTGTGAACAAAGCCAAAAGTTGTACTTTGAATTATAAACTCTGACATTATCTACCTTTAAGCTATTCAAGTAAATTAAGCAAGAACAAAATGCCTGATTCAGCCCCCAGGTCATCTGTAAAAATGTACCATGCAGATTTTATTAAAGTGTTAATAATAAAAAGAATATATAGCTATATATACTTTATGAAAATAGATATTTGGAGACCTGAACTTAAAAATCCCATTCTTATTCTGAGGAGACTCAGATAATAGCAACATTCTTTTAAATAGTAGTGTCCCCTCATGGAGAAATATTATCTTGTGAAGAATGAAGACAACTTTAGGATTTTTTTCCCCCAGAATTGTTTCCTTGTGTTTTTACTAGGGCAAAATTTGCTAATACAGGGAAATAACTACAATTTTAAGGTTTATTCACATTTCCATTTTTAGAAATAAGAATATTCTCTATTAGGCTCCAGAGAATCATGACCAGTGGTGGGAGGGGGGAGGGGATAGCTTCTGTGTGCATAAAAGCAAAAGTTCTTTTGGGCTCTAAAATTCTATTATTTTATTGTGTGTACTTCATAGACCATTTGAAGTTCCCATGAGATTGCATAATTCATCATGCAGAAAATCAAAGCACCTTGCTACAAGTTTGCCTCAGACTCTCATCTAAAATTCTTATTTAGTCTGATAACACACCAATAGACTTAGAGAAAGCAGTTTCCTGCAGAAAATAATAAGTGGGAAAAGCATAATAGCGTCAGAAGATGCAGATACAAATTATAGTATGTATTCAGTGTAATATTCTCAAAAGATAGCGGTGTTTGCACATACATGCTTTTTGTAGTTGTAGTATCTATACTTTGACTGTGTATACAAACACTGAAAATAAAAAAGGAATAGTGCTATTAACCTTTAAAAATCCAAGCACACAAAAACAATAAACAAGGACTTGGGTCTCCCCTTAGTGAAACTTTTTCTAAGTACACCCAGATCTACTTGATTTTTGAGTCTGTTAAGTATTATCCCTGGATCTCAATATCAAACCCAGACATCCAATCCAGATAAATTTGCATTTTAAATTTAAATTTGCATTAAAATTTCACACTATGGAATTCATCTATGCATTGCGAGAGCAATTTGTCATGTGTAGCTATTAAAATTAAAGGTAAAATTAAAGTTGAATTAAATTAAATTGAAAAGTCAACCCCTTAGGGACACTAGCTATATTTCAAACACTCAATAGACAAGTGTGACTATAATGGACAATGAAGGTATGAAACATTTCCATTACTGCAGAAAGGTTCCTAGCTGTAAAAGGGTGGAGTTTTGTCTTCAGTTGTTAACTCTCCAACTGTATTCAAATACTTGAGAATATATCATTGGTTGGAAATTGGGGGACTAAGATTGCAGAGTCAACTGTTCTCTTGAGTTTTGACTGATTTAGCATTTTCTAATGCATTGTTGGCCTCTTTTTCTACTGGCTAGTAAAGGATTACATTGGCACCATCCAGCTTTCTGTATTCTTTATACATTTTTTTTTTTAACTGAACTATCAGGCTACCAGAGTTACTGTGTACTTAGTTTCACAGACAAATATTTATAAACTGTACAGTTAATATTGAAAACAGGAAAGCCATGTAGGTCTATAGACAGAACAAACTGAGCCTGTTACTAATTGTGACAACAGAAACTGTTGATGGTATATTATTTTAAATTTTGTTTTTAATTGTTCATTTGACTTTATATCTTGATCTTGTATGTAATGATCTTGTTTAAATTTGTTTATTAATTACTACATATATAAAAATTTCTGAAAAATGAAAATTACAAAGATCCTTGCCCCATAAAAACTTATCAGGTGATATTTCCTTAATGGAATCCCAAGAGACTTCAAGAAAAATACCAAGGACTTGAACCGGCAGTCTGTATAAGTGAGGGCTATGGCTGTGATCACCACTGTTACAAATATCTTTTTGTTACTAATATTCCACAGAATCTTCTTCTGAAGAAGAGAGCCCTGTGACTGGAAGGAGGTCCCAGTCCTCACCTCCTTATTCTACAATTGATCAGAAGCTGCTGGTTGATGTCCATGTAGGTTTCCATTTTAACACATTTGTGTCTGTTTTTAATTTTCAACCTCCTTTGGCTTATATATATATTTTCTTCTTTTTGTAAAGGAAAGGTTGAAGTGTTTATTTTTAAAATTAATCTGTTAAAGATGAAGTTTCATTCCAATATGAGTATATAGAATATAAAATATAGAAATTAAACTTGAGATGGAAAAATATTTAATTGATCATAAAATATTTTATTTTCACATTTTTGTATCATAACATATTTGACAGAGGAATGGTAGAAAAATATTTGTAGCAACTAGTTTCATATTAAGTAGAGACTAAGATGCATAGTTTTTGTCCAATAGCATTTCTTGGACGAAGAGACAATGCATAAAACATACAGTGAAAAATAAATGTCATTTTCCATTTTTTTTTACCTTTGTAATTACTGCTACCCTACCACACATGCATCACTTCTAGGTTGTTCAAAGTTTGCTATATGACACATATTGTCAGTGTAGGGTGGTGACATACATCTGAAGACGTGTGAACTTATACCTCAGAACATATACAATCTTGTCAACCAATGTCACCTCAATAAAAACATAATAAAAGGCTAGACCAATAGGGGTAATAAAAAACAAAGTGAGTAAATTTGGGCTTGTGTGATCAAGAAAAGCCTTTAATAATCATAGTCTGATGTTTAAATTTTATTATCTTATCCTCACAAAATTTTTGGCTCTATCTAAATGAATGACCATCTTCATTTCAATTTTCTTTCATTTCAATCTGGAAGAAATTGAAAGGCTACTAGAAACTACATTAATCTTTCTTGTGCACACAGGTTCCAGATGGATTTAAAGTAGGAAAAATATCACCCCCCGTTTACTTGACAAATGAATGGGTGGGCTATAATGCACTCTCTGAAATCTTCCGGAGTGATTGGCTGACTCCTGCACATGTCATTCAGCCACCTGAAGAGGATGGTGATTATGTTGAACTCTATGATGCTGGTGCTAATACTGATGGTGGTGATGATGATTCTAATGATGTTTATGAGGATACTTATGACCATGACAATGGCCATGATGATTTGAATAACCAGACTGACCAGGCTGATGATGTTGGTGAAGACCATGATGACGGTAACAATGATGAGGCTGTTGATGATGAAGACAATAATCATGAATATGCTCCTATTTGGCCAAGGTTGGTTTCTGGATTACTTGCACTATCCATGTTTATAATTGCAGAACTATTTATATCTTGAGTTTACTTTCAAAATGTGTTACCCAGAGGGTAAATGAATTGCATGTGCACATTGATAAAAGGTTGTTTTTCAATAATAGGTTTTAAATTGTTTTAATACAGTATACTTAATTTTACATTTTGGTACATTGTATAATTTTTTAGTATTCAAGTGTCTGAATATTATATAACTGTATTTATAACTGGAATTACTTGGATGTTGCTGTTAAAATTAATGCTGCTGAATTATCCTGCTCTGTAAAACTGCAATGAGTGTAAGGAATAGTACAACTAAGTGGTGTGCTTCTTAATAACTATAAAATGAAGTCCTGGTAATTTTGAGCAAAATCCTACATTTACTGAGAAAAATTAATTACAAACTTGACTCTCACTTGATATTTTAGGCTCCATTTTTTACTAACAGAAATATTCTTGGAATTCTGAAAACTGTGGTAACTAAAGTCGTACTCATTCAATTTTATCTTCTTACAGAGTAGTTGCCCAAATGATAATATTTAATGAAGTAGTGTTTTTGGCATGCCACCAGTTGTTTGCTCTCTGTGTAGTTTCTTGTTCCTGCTCTAAATGAGTATGTTCTTATTTACAGATACTCATGACCTGTATTTACTCAACTTTCAAAGAAGACTTGTTAAAAGACAATATTGGGGGGATGGGAATGAGAGAAATGTTTGCTTTTAAGAGTGGAGTCTATATATTCTATTACTTTTCAAATAATTTTATGGGGGAATATACATGACAGAACAGACTGTCATTGAGTATTTTTTTTTCTTTTTTGCCAACTAAAGAAAATCTACCAGGATTTTCTTGTAGTCAAATACATTTGATTTTAAAATTACCATAGGTGCACATGTTTAATGTTGTCTTTTGCAGATCATTAGGACATTTTGTTAAGCTTGTTGTTCTTAGCAACTCATTAAGTGACTATATTAGGTTAATGAGATCTATATTATTGAACTTCCTTCTGGTACTAGTAAGCAATCGATGGGACTCTGTAATAAAGCAGTCAACACATGTTAGAAAATCAAGGCACATTTTACTTATTTTTTTATCTTTTATTAATTTTATTTTTTTATAATAAATTTTATTTTTATATTCCCCATACAATTGCAACCCCCCCATTCTGACCCCAATCCCTCCCCTCCCGCCACCCACCCCAAAAAGTGTCTCTGGTTCATAGTTTTTTGTTGATTTTGATTTTCACTTTCTTATAGTTATTCATTTTCCTGGTCCCTTATTTAAGTTTTCTAGATTCCTGCTATGAGTGAGACCATCCGGTATTTTTCTTTTTCTTTTTGGCTTATTTCACTGAGCATGATCCCTTCCAGTGCCATCCATGTTGCTGCAAATTGCATGTGTTTATCTTTTTTGAATGCTGAGTAATATTCCATGGTATATATGTACCACATCTTCTTGATCCAGTCATCTATTTTTGGGCATTTGGGCTGTTTCCAAAGCTTAGCTATTGTAAACAGTGCTGCTATAAACATAGGGGTGCAGGTGCTCTTTGGAATTGATGTTTCTGTGTCCTTTGGGTAAATACCTAGGAGTGGAATTGCTGGATCATATGGAAGCTCTATGTTTAGTAGGTCAAGAAATCTCCACACAGCTCTCCATAGTGGTTGGACCAGTTTGCACTCCCACCAACAGTGCAGAAGAGTTCCTTTTTCTCCACAACCTCGCCAACATTTGTTGTTGCTAGTTTTTTTAATATGTGCCATTCTCACTGGTGTAAGATGGTATCTCATGGTAGTTTTGATTTGCATTTCCCTGATTACAAGTGATGTTGAACATTTTTTCATATGCCTGTTGGCCATTTGCATTTCCTCTTCAGAGAAGTTTCTTTTTAGTTCTTCTGCCCATTTTTTGACTGGGTTATTTTCTTTGTTGTTGTTGAGTCTCATCAGCTCTTTGCAGATTTTTGTGATCAGTCCTTTATCATTAGTGTTGGGTGCAAAAATGTTCTCCCAGTCAGTGTGGTTTCTCTTTGTTTTTGTTATTGTCTCTTTTGCTGTGCAGAAGCTCTTTAATTTGATGTAGTCCCAGCTGTTTATCTTTGCCTTCACTATCACTGCTTTGGGTGATGTATCTGTAAAGATGTCTTTGATGTGCAAATCACGTAGTGTTTTGTTGCCATGTTGCGTGTGGTTCTTCTACTCCCTACTGTCTGTTTTCTAATTTGCCGTATGCATTGGGACACTGTGTTGCTGGGACTGGCCGGCATCTTGGGTGAGCTTCTGTGCTCCCCTCTGGCTCCTCCGGGAGCCATCTGTCAGTTTCAAGCAGTCTTTACTGAAGAAAGGTCCCTGTTCTAAAATGCCGATGTGGGGACACACTCCCCTGTGCTCCTGGTCTGCCCCGGCGGTGGGTTCCCTCTCCCCCTCTGGGCTTGGACTGCAGGCCAGAGGTGTTCTGGTGTGGGCGAACTTCCCCGGCTCACCTCTGGCTCCTGAGGGAGCCTTCTGCAGGCAGTCTTTACTGAAGAAATGTCCCTGTTCTAAAATGGCGATGCGGGACACGCTCCCTGCGTGTCCAGTCTCAGGCACACTCTTCTGAGTGCCTGGTCTGCCTCAAGGCACATTTTAAAATGAGCAAATTAGATATATATTTCAAGAATTAGTTAAGTATGTTCTGGTTGATACAAAATAATGGACTTAATCATTTATGTGGCTGTGAAGTTGCTAATGCATGAAGTAGTGTATTCTTTAAGAAAAATAAAAACATATTCTTGCTACTCACCTAACATATGTTCCTAATAAAGGATGCAAATTTTCTTCCATCTGCCATCCAGATGCAGCCAGGGAATTGACAGTGACTATGGTGTTAGTTCAGTATTTAAGACTGACAGGATGTAAAGGCATTTTCTTAACTATATCTTACTGGTAGTGTTCACACAAAGTAAAAACATGCCTGGAAATGGTACATATGTGTAAAATGCATACTAATTCTGTTTCATCTACTGACTTTCAAGTGTGTTTTTGTTGGGTGGCTTTCTGTCATTAATTGGATCTTATTATCAGGCCAGGCTATGGCAATGATGAAAGCTGCAAGCAAGATGGTAGAAATGGAAATGATGGAGGAGAAGGATCCTGCAGCAACTATGGAAGTCACCGAAACAGAAGAAGCCAAGGAGACGGTGCAGCCAGTGGGGTCAGTGCAGCGATTGGAGAGCAGGAAGGACAAGGAGCCAATACAGATGGTGGAAGAAGAGGGATAGATGGTGATGGAGGCAAGGGAGCTAGTGGAACCAATGAAGAAAGTGAAGCCCTTGAACTCAATGGAGAAAATGGCTCAGAGATAGATGATCTGGGATTGGAGAGAGCAGCATCTCAGGACTTTGGACATCAACAGGAGGTAATTCACAATTTGAAAATGAGAATATTTTCTCTCCTTGTGAATGTGTTTCTTTACATGATATGTTACATTTTCAGCCGCTCCAAATGTACTCTAAACTACTATCCCATAGCGTGAAAATTTTTTAATTCTAGCTATAGATAAATCTTTATTCAAATTTTGATATGAAAAAATATCTTCTTTGTTTGCTAAGATCACCCAGATCACATGTTTGGGATAGTGTCTTAACACATACAGTTTTTTTTCTGGGAAGTTTTCATTGTCGAAAAATAAGCATAAGGTACCATTTTTCCACTGTAAATGGAGGGCACAATTTTTTTGAGGGCACAATTCAGTGAATTAAGTAAATTCACAATGTTGAACAATGATTACCAGCATTCATCATCCCAAACAAACAATTATTCCCTCATAATTGCCCCCCTCAGTATCTGGTAACCCCTTTTCTCCTCCCTGTACAGACACCTTACATCCTTATATAAGTGGAATCATGAAATATGTATTCTTCATGACTGGCTTATTCACTTGGCATATTTTCAAGTTTCATCCATGTTGTAGCATATATTGGAATTTTTCTTTTTAAGGCTGTGTAATATTCCTTAGTATGAATATATCACATCTGTTGGTGGACACTTGGGTTGCTTTTACCTTTTGGCTATAGTTCATGAATAATTCTCTGTGAACATTGGTGTACAAGTATGTTTTTAGAGTCCCTGTTTTTAATTATTTGTACTATATACTTAGTCCTATGTACGTAGGAGTAGAATTGCTAAATGTAGAATTGTTAGTGTAGAATTTCTAGCTTCTGTTTTAACTTTTTGAGGAACTATTAACACATAAAAATTAAATAGAAATAATGTCCTGTGTTTAGACAATGATCTTCTCATTCACAAAAATGTTTACTGACTAGAAATAGGTTTAGAAATATTCAAGTAGCTTCACAGGTGCTAGATCAATGGGAATTACTAAGAGAAGATTTCCTGAAGCATGTGGTGTTTGAACTAATTCTTTACAAATGGCTATCTGAAAACACAGGTGAGATTTCAGACAGAAAAAAGATCATACCAATTTACTTAACCGCACTATTGTCTGATATCACAGAAACTGACTTAAAAGGTGCCATGTTCTTTTGTGAATTAGTGGGCCTGTGCAAGTCATTTCCTCTCTCTGTAAAGCTGTTTCCTCACCTTTTCACTACTTGGTGAGCTAGCATTCTTCATGATGCAACTCACATATTATCTTTGACTTCCCAAGGCAGGATGATATGTCCCTTCCCCAGTGGTTACAAGCATGTTCCCCATAGTTTGATTTCAGTAACTACAACACTGTAATTTAATCATTTGTTTACTGGCTTTTCCAACACACTAGATTGTGAATTCTTAAAAGGTAGGAGTTACCCTTGATTATTTTTCTCTACCCGCTCACCAAATCCCGTGTTTCAACCTAGAGTTTGGTTTTGAAAGGCACACAATAATTATGGAACAAAAAAGGAAGGAAAGAAAGAAAAAGGGAGGAAGGAAATTCCCTACATGGTGTCCAATGGGAAAGCAGTATCAGTAGAAAAGGATCTGTGTTCTAGGGCCTCCCCTGGTGGCGCAGCGGTTTTGAGCGCTGGGCTGCGAAGCTGCCCACAGCGTCTGCAGCGCCGGTTCAATCCCCGGCCACCTGTGAGGGCCCCACATGGTGCGCAGACCTCTCCTGCTGTGCCCGCTGCTCCCCTCAGCAGTGTATTTCGTCAGTCTGCCTGTTCTGTTCCCCGCTATGGCTCTGTTGAATTTTGTCACAGAATTCTGACTGTACCCAGTGCTTGTATAAATAAATACTTCTGACTGTACCCAGTGCTTGTATAAATAAATAAATAAATCTTAAACAAAAAAGGATCTATGTTCTATCTATCTGTCTGTCTCTCTGTCTACCTAGCTACCTGCCTACCTGCCTACCCATCTATCATCTGTCTACCTATCTGCCTACCAATTTACCTACTATCTTAATTAAAGACCTGAAAACAGGGTGTGTCATCATAGTTTTCATAGCACCCCTGAGTATCTCCAGTTATCTCAATGAATGTTTCTGAAATTTACAGAGTGAATGAATCTTTATTTCATTTTAGTTGAGAAAGGACAAGTTGCTATACAATATTTTCGTGGTTGGAAAGGTCATAAAAACAAGTCTTTGGTAGGGATTGCACCTCTTCAAAGGCAAGAATCACTGTTTAGACACACAAAAAAATGCTTATCAAGAGACAGGCTTACCGAAAATGGTATGATTTCCAACATGATAAGGCATCTCAGATGAGTTCTGTCACATTTTGGCATTTTGTGACTTGAATTTCTTTGTAAGTTCATAGAAGTAGGATAGATTTTCAATGAAGCTTGTTCAAACTCTTGAATTTGTGTTTTATTTTCCATTACTATCTTTGTCACTTGATAAAATGAAATTGATACCTCCACAATGATAGCTGAATATAAGTCTTGAAATCAAACTTTGGCTTCAAACTCTGGTTCCCCTAATCATCTCTGTGATCCTAAATTAAATGATTTAACTTCTCTAACCTTTAGTTTCCTTATAAGTAAAATGGAGGTCATTGTATTTACCTTTGATTTTATTATAAAGATTCACAATGATATACAATTAAGAAGACAAATAGCACCTGGTGCACAATATTCTACAAATGGTAGGCCCCAAACTGTATATCCAAGGATTTAAGCTCCTTATATTTCTCCTCCAACATCGTCTCAACAGAGGTTAGTTCTCTCTCTTCTGATAACATTGCTGAATTCTGGTAAATGGATTTTATAAAGGTGCAGAATTATTAATGTTACAAATTTCACTCTCTCAAATGACCTCCATGCATATGTTTCTCTCACTGTTAATCTGCTAATAGAGTCAACATCAATTTTCAATCTTCTTTTAGGTGTCAGGTGGTAAAAGTGAGGCTTCAAATGCCATTGCCTTGGGCCCTGCACTCGCAGCACCTGGTGACGAGAGTGACAGTATGGACATATCAGAGGTATCAACGGTGTCAGGATTTTCTGCCAGCTACTCGTCTCCATCCAATGGTTCTGGGACTGCAAATGCTGACTTTGCCAGTGCCATCTGTAAGTGTGTTTAATATCCAAATGTTGGAGTCTGTTCACATACTAAAGAAAGTGTTTTACTACTGGTTCACAATCTGAAAAGAGTCAAGTTATTCAGATATTGAGTTGATATAAATTCAGGTAGATAGATGCTTTTAAAATATCTACTTTTCCCTGATTTTTATGGCACCTAAAGTGAACTACGATTAAGGAACTGATTTCTTCATTGAGTTTTTCTTCTCTTTTTTGGTAATCTAGTCACAGTAAGTAGAAATACATTCATATTCAGAAATGTATTTTAACCATCATGATTTGTGTTATATGTTGCAGAAATGATATCGCCAGTAAAAAATAAAAGTCAGTAAAAGAAAAGGAACTTTTCTAGGCTGTACCTCACTTGCAGAAACACTGAAACATATATGGTGTACATGGTATAGACTAGTAATTTTTCTTACTCTCTTCCCTCACTTCTTCACAGTATATGCTGGATTAGTGGAAGTACCTGAGAAATCACCTGAGCAACCCTCTGAAGTCAATGTCAACCCACTCTATGTCTCTCCTACATGTAAAAAACCACTAATCCACATGTATGAAAAGGAATTCACTTCTGAGATCTGCTGTGGTTCTTTGTGGGGTGAGTTGCGTTCTTAAAACTGTGTTGTGTTTTTAAAGAACATATTTTTATCTGTGCAGCAAACTTGTGAAAAAAATCATAGATGTAAAACATTTATTGCTGTTACTAAACCATTACCACCAAACAAATAAAAAAATGTACATATGCATAGTAGTTAATTCCTTATTTTGCTGATTTTTTTCACTTAATGAAGTTTGATATTTGAATTGGCACGCCCTTTCCTTTTTGTGCTATTTTTCTTTTTAACATAAATTAACTTAGTTAAGGTATAAAACTGGGTTATGATTATTTGACGTTGAAGTTAGTATTTTTAATTTAGGGTAGTGTACAGTATACAAGACCTAATAAGATAGTACAAGAAAGATTTCTGCAAGTTCTTCCTTTTAAATAATCTTGAATATTTGTAGAGAAAAAGCCTATAATTTCTTAACATTAATAAATTTTTCCAATCTTTTGTTCCAGAAGAATTATAACCTCATCATCAGTGCTAAGACAGTGTTTTACCTTAAGCCAGTCTGAATCATAAATAGAACAGAATAAACAAACATCAGGAAGGGAGAAATCCAGAGTAAACACCAACTTCCCACGTGCAATTTCATAGATTTTGCTTAATATGCTTGAACAGGGAACAGAATTTTAAATTTAAAATAGATCAGTGTAGCAAACATTATACTGACATGTATTGAACATCTCAGGAAAAGAAAAATGTCGTCCTCAAAATTCTGCTAATGTGTCAGATAAAAAGAAAGCAAAGTTTGCTGTTACCATTTCAGTCCGGCAACCACTCAGATGTAGCTAGTGTTTACTAACTTATTTTTAGAGTTTAGAAAAATAAAAGATTACAGTCAGAATTGATTGTACTTCCCCTCCCTCCTTGAGTCCCCTCTGGGGGGAAAGATTTTCCTAAACCTGCCATCGTCCATTATTTAGAGAACTGCTAAAGGACAGAGTGGGAGAAAGTGAGGGCAGAGACACATGCCTTTCCTTTTTATACCCATGGAGCACAAATATTCTCCAAATAGAGGGACATCACAGAAATACTGACTCATATTACTTTGCTGATTTTCTCCTGTGTCTCAAGTTATGGGGGAAAATCCCACAGTGGTTTGAAATATATTCTAAATTTAGTTCAATCTTCTATTTCACTCTTCTCATTTAGTCTTTAAGTAGTGCTTATATTTGCATGAATAGAGCCCCAGACAAATAACAAGAGTAGGATTTTAGATATATGAAAGTAGGATCTAATTTCATAGACATTTAGTAATGTAAGTTTTTAAATATGTGCATGAACACAGAATCACTCAATTTAAAAACAATTTATATATAATTATTTTTAAAACATTAAACCATTAGTTATAGTAAGAAATCAGAAACTAACTGAATTGAAGTGTTTGTATGTGCTAGATATCCTTAATGTCTACTAGTAACTTTCATTAAAGTTTATTGATATGTGTGTATGTATGTATGTGTGTGTGTGTTTCTGTTTGTGTGATGGCACACCAAACTCCAGTCAGTAGAATATTCCCAGACAGTATTAGCTTCTGTTATTTAATGTATTTCAGTAAAATTTTTTCGGCTTAGAGTTCATTGTTACACAGAGTGAAGTTAATGTTAGCCCAAAATGATGAAAAGGATGAAAAGTCACCTTTATATAGATCAGCATGTTGCAGGAGCAAAAATATATTAATATAAATTCAATTACAAAAATGTAATTTGAGCTAATTTAGCACTTTTCTTTTTCTATACAAACAGGAGTGAATTTGCTGTTGGGGACCCGATCTAATCTGTATCTGATGGACAGAAGCGGAAAGGCAGAAATTACTAAACTCATAAAACGAAGGCCATTCCGTCAGATTCAAGTTGTAGAGCCACTCAATTTGCTGATTACCATCTCCGGTTTGTCTGAGAACTAAAATTAGCTGAGCAATTATGCAGACTAATTAGGTTGCAAACTGGGTTAAAGATTTTCCCAGGTGAAAGATTTCATAGGAAAGCACTTTAAATATAACCTTTAACTGGGACACCAGACTTTCCTTCCTATATTTTCTTACCTATTTACAATTTAAACTAACTTCAGACCCTCTTTCAGGGTCTTGTATGTGATTGTAATGCACCTAACCTGGGTCAGTTAGAAGAAACACTATGTCATTGTTTTCTATAATAAGCACCTGTAACATCACAGCTCACAATGTCACCCACCCAAGTGCACACACGACCACTCGAACAATGTATACAATAATTGGGTAAAATGAGACTCTGTTGTCCCTGGCACAGTCTTTTCATAAGCACCTATTGACAGGGTCTGTAACAAGAATAGCTTGAGAAAAAAATATTAAAACTATTTAATTATTTTGTAAGTATGCTGGAATGAAAAAGCACCCCTGCCCCACTGATCCTTATTGATGGTCCAGACATCACACATCCCTCTCATGTATGCACATGATCAGGGAGAGCTGTGTGTCTCTGAATTTCAGAAGGTTCATGACTTAGATAAAAGCTGAGGTACAAATGAATGAATAGTAATTGTTGCCTGCATAGAGACAGTCTTAAACTGTCCCAAAGGAGTAGGTAGCTGCGAGGCACTTTGACTATTAGAAGTGAGAGATCAGAGAGACTTTGCCATCATATTTCCAATTTCTAAAGGAAAGACTCTGATGCAATGTCCTTTTTCAAAGTGCTTTTTATTTTTTTTAAGATTTATTTATTTATTTATACAAGAACTGGGGTATAGGCCAGACTCGCGGAAGGGTAAGAGGATTCACCAGAGACACAGAGGGGAACAGAACAGGCAGACTGACTGAAATACACTGCTGAGAGGAGCAGCGGGCCAAGACAGGAGAGGTCTGCTGCGCCATGGGGGAATCCTCACAGGCCAGGATCAAACCAACACTGCAGGGGCTGCGGACAGCTTCACAGCGCAGCACTAAACCGACTGTGCCACCAGGGGAGGCCCAAAGTGCTTTATATTTTAATGACAAGATTTGGTTCAAAAGGCCAAAGACTTCACTTTTCTATTCTTCTAATTGATGAAAAAATAGACTGAATAAAAACACTGTATCTTTGTTTGTTTGTTTGTTTTAATCTCTCAGGCCATAAGAACAGACTCCGGGTGTATCACTTGACCTGGCTGAGGAACAAGATTTTGAATGATGATCCAGAAAGCAAAAGAAGACAGGAGGAAATGCTAAAGACAGAGGAAGCCTGCAAAGCTATCGATAAGTTGACAGGCTGTGAACACTTCAGTGTCCGTAAGTCTCACTTCATGTTTACTATGGATATGGAAAGTTTACTTCCCTCCATTTGGCAAAGCACATAGTTGTGACATGCAGAGTAGAGGAAGGAAGGAACTTACAACTGCATGTGCAAGAACAAGAGAATTTCATTGAGACATCTTTTATGCCTTGATCATGCCTGTTACTTAGATAATATTTATTGACTGAAAAAATATTGAGGTTATATTTGGTTTGCTTTCTCACCTTTTTTTCCCATTACCAGTCACTCTAAATACTCAAGATGAACCAATAATTTCTTCCTGCCTCTACATAACTTCAACTATATAAATGTTCTTAGTGTGTCTTCAGTAACTTACAAGGAGATTCATATGCTGTTGTCTTTCTTTGGAATAGCAATTAAGTATAAACATGTAATAATTCCCTCCATTTTTTTAAAGATTTATTTGTATTTATTTATACAAGCACTGGGTACAGTCAGAAGCGCGGGAGGGTGAGAGAATTCACCAGAGCCAGAGCGGGGAGCAGAGCAGGCAGAAGGGCGGAAGTACACTGCTGAGGGGAGCAGCGGGAGGCAGGAGAGGTCTGCGGGCCATGTGGGACCCTACTCCGGTGGCCGGGGAGCAGCCGGGGATTGAACCAGCGCTGCAGAGGCTGCGGGCAGCTTCTCAACCCTCCATTTTTTAAATGAGAAAATCCCTTTTAATACTGACCAGGAAAATTTACAATTAATCAAAAAGTAAATTATTTTGTGGTTTGCTGCCTCTGGCTCACATTGTTGATATTCATGAGTATACTTGATAAATATTTTCTGTCTGCTTAGAGTATTGTCACAACTGTGAAATGGAGTAACAACTCCAGGGTCTCAGAATCCTGCTCTCAGCTGTCAACAGCTGGGAAGTAGTAGTAGGTCAGCCTTTTCCATTTCTGAAGCAAATCCCTTCTACACTCATCCTTCGTCTTCTTTCCTATTTACTAATTGCCCCTTCAAACAGAACTCACGGCCTGGGTGAGCTAGCTGGAATCCCATGCTGTTGGTTACAGCAGTATACTTAGATCCCGACAGACCATTTGTGTACTGTTTATAACAGGCTATCCCAGGGTAGGTTTTCACGTGTGTGAGCATATATATACATACACCATTAAAGGGAGATCTGACAACTTGGGTATTAAATAAACATGTGGTTTTCTTTTAGTTTCATGTGTCACTACTTTCCTCCGAATCATATTATGTAATTTGGTATCCATGAGTGAAAGACATTCCCAGATGTTAACTGAGGAGCTTGTATAGCAGAACAGCCTCCTACCGACTTACACATTTTTCAGTTCAGTAAGAAAGCATTTACAAAGATGGTCATCTTGCAAATCTGTACTCTTGGTAAAGTGGAGGGACTAGTCAAGTCTAGTTGTCCTAACTGACCCCATCTCAACCTATCCCAGCCCTCATGAAAAGCAATTCACTTGTCCAGTTAAGTCTAGTTGTCCTAACTGACCCCATCTCAACACATCCCAGCCCTCATGAAAAAGCAATTCACTTGTCCTATTAACAGGTGGAACAGTAGCATCTTCTCTCAGGACAGTGATGTTCTCATACTTGCATGGTATTTCTGTGGCATTCCAAGATCCCACAGAGGAATAGACTGACACCAATTACTGCTATATATTAAAACATAAGGAAGTGTTTTCTTAACAGAGAATTCCATTGCTTGTTGGGATTTTATTAATCATCATTCTCTGACCTACTTGGGAATAGTGCAAAAGAAAAAGAATGAGTAATCTAAATAAAAGGGAGAGGTGTGTGTGAGAGAGAAGTCTTATCTATTGGTCACAGATGAAGTCTGACTAGAGAGGACAGAAGTAATGTCCCAACCAAGGAAGAAGGGTTCTAGCGCAAATTGTAAATCTAGCAGGTAGGACAACGTACTCCATAAAAACTGGGTTTAGCCTCGAGCTTGCATATACTTTTAAATATATCTTTATTCTTAAAAAAAAAACAGCTTTGTTGAAAAAATGTAAGAGACATACAATGATTCAAAAATGCCATACAATCCAATGGTTTTTGGTATTTTTAGTTGTATAACTTACCACCATGATCTATCATCATCCCCCACAAAGAAACCCCATAGCTATTATTAGTCACTCCACATTCCACCCCTCCTGTATTCACCTTATTCCCCATGCAGTCCTAAGTAACCACAAATCTACTTTCTTTTGCTGTAGATTACTGGACAATTTATTTAAATGGATTATGCATTATGTGGTCTTTCATGACAGGTTTCTGTCACTTAGCATAATGTGTTCAAGGTTCATTCATGTTGTAGCATGTATAAACATGTATCAGTACCTCCTTATTGCTGAATAACATTGCATTATATTGACATTCCACCTTTCGTGTATCCATTTTTATACATGTATTGTGTATATATCTGCATCCTTTCCACTTTTTAAGTATTAGAAATAACATTTTTATGAACATTTTGTACATGCATTTGTATATAAGAATGCATGTTTTCTTTTTTCTTATGTAGAGTGTTTTTCAAAATGGATACACCATTTTTACATTGCCATAAATATCAGGGTTCCATTTTCTCTTCATCTTTGTCAACACTTACAGATGTCTGTCTTTTGATTCTAGCCATACAAGTGTATACCAAGTGGCATGTTACTGTAGTTTTAATTTGCATTTCCCTGCTGACTAATATTGTTACACATCTTTGCAGATGTTTGCTGACCATTTGTGTATTTTCCTTGGGTTGCTTATCTTTATGTTGTTAGATTATAAGCATTTTTTATATATTCTGGATACTAGACCCTTACCACATATATGAGTTGAAAATATTTCTTCCCATTCCATAGGTTGTCTTCGATTTTTGATAGTGTCCAAGAAGTTTGATGCAAAGAAGTTTCAATTTTGATGAAACCAAATTTATCTATTTGTTTCTTTTATTGTGTATGCCTTTGGTGTCAAATATAAGAAACCACTGCCATGAAGATTTATGCCTATATTTACTTCTAAGAGTTTCATACTTTTAGTTCACATTTAAGTCTTTGATCCATTTTGAGTTCATTTTTATATATTCTATAAGGGTCCAACTTTATTCTTTTGCATGTGGATATTCACTTGTCCCAGCAACATTTGTTGAAAAGACTGTTCTTTCCCTATCAGGTGGTCTTGGTACCATTGACCGTAGATGTCTGGACTTAATTGTAGACTCCTAATTCTACTCCAATAATCTATATGCCTCTCCTTATATCATTACTATACTCTTTCTATTACTGGAGCTTGTAGTAAGTTTTGAAATTGGGAAGTGTGTATCCTGCAACTTTGTTCTCTTTCAAGATTATTTTGGCTGTGTTGGGCTACTTTCCAATTCCATGTGAATGTTAAAATCAGCGTTTTCATTTTTTCATAAAAGGCCATTGGGATTTTACAGGGATTCACTGAATCTTTAGATCATTTTATATATTATTGCCATCTTAATGTTCAGTTCTATGTTTATAGGTCTTCTTCAACTTCTTTTCAGCAAAATATTCTGTATTTTTCATTGTACAATTTCTAGTGATTTTGAAAGCTAATGCATACACTCTGTAAAACACTATTTTGTCACCTTTTGGGGGCATCAAACTGTAAGCAAATAGCTTTTCTAAAAATATTAAATCTATGCTCTTATTTTGTGAATATGATATTTTCAACTATGTATACAAATAGTTGAGTGTTCTTATTAACTCTGTGACATTGTTACTTTGTATTTTGTTGTCATAGTCCAACATGAAGAAACAACTTACATTGCAATTGCTTTGAAATCAACAATTCACCTTTATGCATGGGCACCAAAGTCTTTTGATGAAAGCACTGCTATTAAAGTACGTATTCTCTTTTTCCTTTGGATCATATGGTTTTCTTTGGAGAAAATGTGAACAGAATAGCGTTTTGGAATATAGGAACACATATATATGTAGCATTCTTTTGCAGTTAATGTAATTTGAGTAAATCACTTCAATAATTATCATTTAACCCATTTTTAGACAATTCACAAGCACCACAAAAGAGAATGTGAGGGAAACACCTGAACCATCCCCCTTAGAGGACTTCCCCACCAACTCCTCACTCCTAGTTCCTGTAGTTGGCATGTATATGTATACCTTCTCTTCTAGAGCCCCAAGCACAGGCTTTGGGTGTCACCCCAGTGACTTGAACCTGAGAAATTCCTTATTCTCTCTTAGTTGGGGGAGGGTGGAGAAGAGGGAAGGTAAGAAAATATGTGATAGTGGTAGGGGGAGAAACCAAATGGAGGATGAATGAAGGAATAGGGAAAAGAAAGCCTTTGCTCTAGTTATTAGGACTGTAAGAGATGGGGGTGGGAGGGAAAGGGCTGGGTCTATATTCCTTCCAAGCTGGAACTCTAAACACGTTTTTCTCTAGAACTATTGCAAGAAATGGTGGTTAGGCTTATTTGGATTACCAGTACTATTTCCACCTTTATTATGGTTTAACTGAACTTCTATGGATCAGCTTCATTAAGGTAACCATTCAGTGTCCCAAACAATTAAGGTATTGATGGCTTTTAATCACACCTCATAAACCTGGGACTCTTTTGTCTTTGTTATCTTTTTATAATGTTACATAATCCCACTTAAATAGGATTATTTTGTATTTATTCCACAGTAATGTTGAATAATTAATGAACTGGAAGCATTATATAAAGTCCAATAACTCCTAATCTGGGATATATCTTAGAATCATCTGGAGCATTTATTAAAAGTTTAGATCTCAGACCCAACCCCAGGCTAACTTGGTAGGTCTGGAGTGGGGTATAGAAATCTATATTTTTAGCAAATGTTCCAGATGATTTAAAACTAGATGGTTTATGGACAAATCATTGGTAGGAATACATCATGGGAGACTCCAGCAAAATGTTCATGAACTATTATTTCTGCATCTTGGGTCAGGAGCTGTTCACATGGTAATTTTTAAGCTAAAATATCACATATACACAATAAAGGTGGGCTAATTCTTTTGACTTCTCCTTAATGTATATTTGTACAATACATTTAATTGTTTTACGGATATCCGACTACCATGCAGACAGCCTAGGTCTGCCCTGAACAAATCGCATCCCTGATCTGATCTCCGTAAATTGGGCCTTGGGTCAGTTGTCAGTATTTGGATATGGGTTTGTTCTTGGGTGTCTGCTGATTGGTCAGAGTTGCCTGGTATGGAGCTGGAAAGCAAAGAAGATAAGTACCGACATTCTGTCTAGCCTGAAATACAGTTCCTGGTCCAAGTCCTCACTCCAGTTCTTGAATTCTACTTCATGACTACAGTATGGTGACTCCTGTGATGCCCCATCCTCTACTGTGACCTGAACTTGACAATGAATCCTGTTTGGCTTTTTGTTTCCTTGGACTAGGAACATAGAAGCCTAGAGTACATCCAGTCTATGGTAGGTTAACATGTCTGGCCTTTTTCATTCCCTACCAAGTATGCATTGATCAATCAGCAGACTCCGAAGGAGACTACATGTCCTATGAAGCCTATATACGAATACTGGCAAAAATACAGGCAGCTGATCCAGCGAACCGGTTTAAGAGACCAGATGAGCTACTTCATTTGCTGAAACTCAAGGCAAGCTATCTAAAGACAACAGACGGAGTGCAGGGCCAAACAAAGCTGTTGTGATCATTGGTGATTTAGCCTTTGAAGAGAAGCACAATTTTTAGAACCTGAATATAATTATATTCTTATAGTAACAGGTCAAAAAAAGTGGTAATATATAGTCTCTCAATACATTATGTAATTTTAAAAAATCAAACTGGGGTTTTATAAGCCTGTTGAGCAAAAAGAAAGGGCAGTTTTTGCCTTGGGGTGTCATTTTGGCCTTTTGGCCATATTTGGTTTTATATCCACAGGTATTTCCGACAGTTGGTCATAAGCCAGTGACAGTTGACCTGGCTATTGGTTCTGAAAAAAGACTAAAGATTTTCTTCAGCTCAGCAGATGGATATCACATCATCGATGCAGAAACTGAGGTTATGTCTGATGTGACCCTGCCAAATAACGTAAGATCCCCAGAAATTATTATATTAGCACAATTAGACTTTTCCAGCTGTCAGAAAGATTTGGAAATATGATTATTAATATCTATACTGGAACTGAGACCTAAAAGGTAAGAACTCCGTACCAGAAAGCAGTTACGAATAAACAAAAATCACTGATGGTTTCTTAGTACACACACCTGTGTCTGTTCTACAGCTAGGTTGTGTTTGTCTGGCATAGTGTTTGTGTTTGTTTTAAAATTAATAGGGTTTTTACCTAAACAAAGTTACTTTTGTTAATAGATAGAACCTAAAGATCTGGTATTAGGCCCAGATTACTGTTTAGCCATTATCAGCTGGAATTAGTTTGTGCCTTTTCCTTTTTTGTTTTTTAATTCTTTAAATTAAGATAACGTTGGTATATAACACTGCATATGACTTAGAGACATACATCTTTTCAGATGTATTTACCACACCACACCCACCACCAAAGCACCCATAATCCTTTACCAGAGTCAATTGGGCCCCTACCCCCTTTACTCTCCATCCTAACCCTCCCCCTCTGGTATCCTCAATTCTTCTGTCATATTTCTAGGGTTTGCTTTGGTTTAGTTTTGTGTGTTCACTTCTTATATTTCTTTATATTCCATATATGAGTGAAATCATCTGGCATTTGTCTTTCTCCTTTTGACATTTCACTTAGCATAATCCTCTCCACTTCCATCCATGTTGTCACAAATGGCAATTCATCTTTTTAATAGCTGATTAGTATTGCACTGGATCTGTATACCACATTTTCTTAATGTATTTGTTCTCTCAGTGGCTGTTTAGGTTGTTTCCATAACTTGAATATTGTAAATAGTGCAGCAGTGAACTTAGGAGTGCATATATTCCTTCAAATTAGTGACTATGTATTCTTCAGGTAGTTACTTTGGAGTGGAATTACTGGATCATATGGCATATCTATTTAATATTTTGAGGAATCCCCACAGTGTTTTCCATAGGAGTTCGGTCAGTCTACATTCCCACGAACATCGTACAAGGGTTTGTTTTTCTCCACACACTCACCAGAATTTGTTATTTCTGTATTTTTTTTTTAATATGGGCCATTCTCATAGGAGCTAGGAGATACCTCATTGTGGTTTTGATTTTTATTTTTTCTGATAATAAATGATGTTGAACATTTTTTTTTTGTGCCTACTGGCCATCTGCATATCTTTTTTTTTTTGAGAAGTATCTCTTTAGCCCTTAAGCCCATTTTCTGATTGGGTTCTTTCTCTCTTTATTGAGTTGTGTGAACTCTTTGTAGATATTAGATAATGCCACTTGTCAGATGTATGATGTGCAAATATTTCCTCCTATCCAATAGGTTGTCTTTTTATTTTAATGAAAGTTTCTTTTACTATATGGGAGGTTTTTAGCTTACGCAGTCCCATTCATTTATTTTTACTTTTGTTTTCTTTGCTGTTGAAATTGAGTTCCCAAAGAAATCCCTGAAACCAATGTCGTGGAATGTTTTGCCTATATTTTCTTCATTGTATTTAGTTTCTGGCCTTACATACAAGCCTTTCATCTATTTTGAGTTAGTTTTTGTGTCTGGTGTGAGAGAGTGGTCCAGCTTCATTCTTCTCTATATAGCTGTCCAATTTTTCCTGCACCATTTGTTCATGAAGACTTTCCTTTCTCCAATGTATACTGTTGATTGTCCCTATAAATGTCGGCGTATTTCTGGGCTCTGAATTCTGTTTCATTGGTCTGTGTGTCTATTTTTATTCTAATACCATACTGTTTGTTTTTTTTTTTTTTTAATCTATATGGCCTTGTAGTGTAGTTTGTAGTCTAAGCATACAATACTACTCTTACTCCTCCTTTTTGCCAAGGTTGCTTTGACTATTCAGTTTCTGTTGTGGTTCCATATAAATTTCAATGATGTTTGTTCTATTTCTTTGAAGAATTCCTTTGAGCCTTTGATAGGAATTACATTGAATCTATATATTTCCTTGGGTAAGACAGACATTTAAACGATATTAATTCTTCCAGTCTATGAGCATGGTATATCTGTCCATCTTTGTGTCTTCTATTTCTTTTAAGAACGTCTTACAGCTTTTATTGAAAAAATTTTCACTTCCTTGTTAAGTTTATTCCTAGGTATTTAATACCTTTGATGCTACTATAAATGGGAATGTTTTTGTGATATCTTTCTCTTGTAGTTCATTATTTGCATATAGGAGTAGAACAGATTTTGCAACCTGCCACTTTACTGATTTATTGTTTCTAAAAGTTTTTAGTGAAGTCTTTGGGGTTGAAAACTGTATTTAAAAGAAGAACTGAAATAATTTTTCTCTGCCTCATCTTTTTTTATTTTCTCAGTTTATCAACAATTAAAATTTTAGCAGTTTAGCATTATAGAAAAGTCTAGAGAGAAATATTTTTGTACTTTTAAATCACTGTGGTAATATAATATTTTGTACACCAAAAATTTTCATATAATAATTTTTAGATCACTAGTGGATACATTAAAAAATCATTTTGGTCATGTTAACGATCTAATTGGCTGATCACGTGGCTATCACCTATGATTACATAAAAATCATCCTCTTTGTAATGTAGAAATTACTAAGCCAAACCCAACCAAAACCACTTAGATAGATATGAGTTCAGGCTATTTTTCATATAAATATTATAGTACTCTTCAACTGAAGTATCTTCCATAGCTTTCTGAATCTTATTTTTATGTCATGTCAGATAGCCCATATTTTGAAGCTGTTGCAATATTGAACATTGCAGAATTGGTCCAAGTTTATGCTTATTTGAAAAGTCGTTTAAGAAGATTTAACCCTATGTTCCATTTGACTGCCAACCAAGGATAATTTTTTTTCTTTTTGAAGCAATCAGTTAGTTATTGTAAAAACAAGAATGAGAGAAGATGAGTGTTTAGGGGGAAAAATCATATTCTGACCTAATTAGGATACCTTAAATATATTTAAAAATAGTATTTTTTGCTAAATGTCCTAGTATCTTGACCCATTAAAAGAGGAAGAGTTCCAATATAAGGGAGGGGAAAGTGTCTTCTGAAACAGAATACTAAAAATAATACTTTTCCAGGAGTGCTAGATTACAAAAGCCGTGATGCTACAAGGCAGCCCTGTGTGCTAAAGAATAGCTGGTTACTTCAGGAATCATCTGAGAAGCAAGAGGATTACCTCTGAGGCTTTCTGGATTTATAGCAGTCCAGTTTTATTCTACACAGATTTTATTGAGACAGCCTTCTTTCCTGCAACCTCTTTTTCTCTTTTCCTTCATCTCTTTTCTGATTTAATTGCTGATGCGAGTGCCCAGGGAACGCATTAAAATTGCTTTTCGCCTCTGGATTCCCATTTTAGTTTTAAGGATTGTTGTTGCTGAGACATGGCCTCATGCACTTGGCCAGAGTCCGCTGGGTTTGGCAAGTATAGTTTCTGACCTTATTTCTGTAACTTGCTAATTTGGAGAGATGGATAATTGCTCATTTCTCTGGGAAATACTGTTAATGTGACAATGCAGTTCAAGTGAGTTTCTGTCACATTGTTTTATGCATCATCAAATTTAGATTTTCTGGGATATTTCTTAGTGAATCATATTATGTCACCTAATATGTCTCTGAATTTGTCTATATTAAGGTTACATATTTTGGATAAGAAATCCTTCATTTCTTGTGAAAAGAGCATGACTGATGACTGTTGTATTTCAGGCATCAGAGAATATCACATAGCTGGCCTTTGTAAACATTTGAAATTCAGGCTGTTTTTAAGTTAATTTTCTATTCTGGATATGAATGAATTGGCTGATTACCAACAATTGTGTATTTGTTACATGGTTCACACCCTCCTTTCCAAAGTATTTGCTGAAGTGAATCTGAAATCCAACTCTAACAAGTAATATATTTTTATGGCACTAAACATAATACTTTGTGAAATTTCAATGACTTTCTCTGTGTTGGAAATATATCTCTTCTTTCAAACAAGGTTTTCTCCATAATATAAGGGAAAATATTATACAGCGATGACTTTATGACATAGGGAAGGCTCTTTTCAAGAATTGGATAGCATAGTGTTTAATATAAATTACAAGTTTCTTTTCCTGCCTGTACTTTGAACCCCCTTTTGGTCTTTATTGATTAGCCAATCTGCCTCACTTAAAGTAGTAGTGGTAAAATGTTGGACCTATAAATCTTTATGAAACATAATTCCAGCCCCTGGAAATCATTATACCACAGAATATCATCATTTTACCTGATTCCCTGGGAATTGGCATGATGCTCACCTTCAACGCTGAAGCCCTTTCTTTGGAAGCAAATGAACAACTCTTCAAGAAGATTCTCGAAGTTTGGAAAGACATACCATCTTCAGTGGGTATGTATAAAATTTTCCCTCTCTCAGATGATCCTAGATAAGCCTCTGTCTCTTAAAGTATTTCATTTTCTCAAAATATATAGGGTTAATTTGGGATCCTGCATATTTATTCCTGCAGCAAGGTATGCATGTGTGTTTGTCCTCTGCTTAAATAATCCACAAAACTACCACAAAAAGACTGATTTTGACTGTCTCAGTTGTTCATTTGCAGTAATTATGCAATTAAAACAGGAAAGGAATTCATTTCACAATAATCTATACTTTTTGTTTTAACTCCATTTGCTTTGCAGATTTTACAGAGATGTTGAAAATTCTTCATTCCATCACATGGATTTCTGGGGTTTACCTTTATCTTAGGGGGCTGCCAAATAGTCATAAAAAAAGCAAAGTATTTCTATTTCATGCATTCAATAGTGTTCTATTTAATGAGTAATATTCCTGTAGAAGGATCAGATGCAAACTAAATATCTGACATATTAGTTCTAAGATTTCATCATCCTTCATTTGCAGAAGACATAGATATGGCTGACTGGAATGCCTATTAAGTACAACCCAAATGCAACATAAAGAAACCTACCCTTTCGTCTTCATCAGGCCAGGACATTTTTCTTCCTGACCAATGCAAGACTACTGATTTGGGAAACCTGAATAACTTGAGACTGTTGTGTGTGTCTCTGAGTCTTGATAGCTACAAAGGTAATTCTAGATAGAGAACAGAATGCATATAAACAGTAAAAATTATTAGAGTGGAATGAGTTGAAGGAAGATAAATATTCCTGAAAGGAAGAGGTGTTTAATGAAACAAACACAGGAAATCATACATTGTACAAAAATGAAGGATGATTTTTTTATAGATAGATAGATAGATAGATAGATAGATAGATAGATAGATATGTAAAGACTCAAACGAAGGAGAAAAAAGGGAAGGGAGAGAGAAAAAGAGTGAGGGGGTCAGGGAAGCAAGGGGAAGAGACAGAGTCAAAGAAAACATAGTTTGTCAATAGACAAATCAGTAGCTTCTGAAATCCCCATAAAATAGATAAATGTGATCCTCGTGTGGCTCTAAGGACAAGTTTGAAATAATTGCTTTTTAATGGACACTTTTCATTATGGGATGATGGCACTGTGCATTGCATCTGCAGAATTCTTTCTTTTTTGCATACATAGTGTTAAGGATTGTCCTGAAAACGTCCAATGTCTTCAAACAGGTAAGAATCAGAGGGTTTAAAACTATTTTAAGAGACAAAAGGTAAATGCTTACAATATAATTGACAGATCTGAGATGAAAGAAACTGAAAATAGTGAATCTTGTTCTAACTGCAGTACCTGTGTGATCAATATGTTAATCTGAAATGGCAATAAGGAAATTCAAATGGTAAGCTGAACAAACCCCTATATTTATGCTGTTCAACAATCACAAGCAATCAAAGGGAACTTTTTAAAAATGATCTGGTGCAGATTTTGTCCTTAGGCAGGACAAATTCTGACTTAAAACAAAAAGCTATTTCAATTTACTAAAATTTGAAAAGATATTTCTATATGTAAAGTGATTTATATCATCATAAGAACATGATGTTTTGTTTTGTGTTAAGGATACTTTGAAAATATACTAAAGACTACAGTATAACATTGATATTAGGGAAATTAATTACTCTTTTTTTTTTACAACTGCTTTGCTATTTAAAATTAACCTACATCCATATTTCTCCAATTAATATTATAGTTCCTTGAGATACAATAAATGTTTTAAATAATATCATTGCTGTCATCAAAAAAATATATAGAGCCATAACAATCAGAGCAAGTATTGCTAAATATTCCCAGTCAAAATCATTAGATTTCATATCATAAGCAAGCCAGTGTAGTAGCTAGTTTAGGTGGAAGATTAATGTGTTTCAAAATTAAAGCAAAAATTCTGTGATGCCATATGAACTATATACTTGGACTCAGAATGTAACCCATTCATTAAGCTTAGAAATTTTTGCTCTGTGTGGTTGTTGACAAAAAAGCAATTTACATAGGTGAAAAAATACAAATGCAGACAAACTAGATCTATTGCTTCCATCACTTGGGCCGCAGATTCCCCTTACTTCCCTCAAATCTAGAGTGATTTTAATCGCAAAGTTTCCATCCAGCAGAGCCATTTGAGTAAAATATGATAGTGTTTTCATTACTATTTTGACATTAAGTTCATACACATAAATATTTTGATTTGTAATGTAAAAGGAAGCAGAAATAATGTTTGGGAAGTTTTAGTTGAGAAATTCAAGATGACTGAAAGATCATTTGTATAAGTTTAATTATTCCTTCATTAGTCCTTTTGTGCATGTTTTATATAGACATACACACATATGCATTCATGTATACACTATGTAAGATAAATTTTGATGTAAACTAAGTCATCCTAGAATCTTTGAGAAAATAAGGAAAAATTTTAAGCTATATTATATATCAATGCAGAGTTTACTGTCTTTATGCTAAAAGAACATGAAAAGTCAATTGAATTGAATTCTGATTTTAGTCATATTAATACACAAAGATGCCTTGTTTTGATGTTTTGTAGTCTTATTATAGTTTCACTCAAAATCTTGACATTATTTTAGGTGTTAAGATTTTTTTATTTATAGAAATTGGGGCCTCCTGGGTGGCGCAGGGGGTTGGAGTGCAGCACTGTGAAGCTGTCCGCAGCTTCCACAGCACCAGTTCAATTCCTGGCTGGCCAGGGAGATTCCCACGTGGCGCGGCAGACCTCTCCTGGCTCACCCGCTGCTCCCCTCAGCAGTGTATTTCGGTGGTCCTTCTGCCTGTTCTGCTCCCCGCTCTGTCTCTGGTGGATTCTCTCACCCTCCCGCGCCTCTGGCCTGTACCCTAGTGCTTGTATAAATAAATAAATATTAAAAAAAAAAAAAGAAATTTGCTTCCCCATAAAATACAAAGACTAAAATCTTGAAAGTGAAACATTTAATAATACTGCTCCATGTGTCAGAAAATATCTCTCTGCCTCAGGTCACTGTTTGAGTGTTTATATAATTAGATTTTCTGCTTTAAGGCAATTGTCATAATCTTTATTGCCACCAGGTAATATAAAACAGGTCCGAACTTAAAATCTTAATAAAAATTTCCTGAGCAATAGAGAGCCTTAACAGTATCAAAATAGTTTTAGTCCTGTTAATAACATTGTAATGCATTGAATTGCATTAGGATTGCTAGAGTCATTATTTGAGCAAGTCATTTTTTAAGTGTTAATTTTGAAGAGTTAGGTTTCTATTATGTCACTTGCGCACAAATGCAAAACCTATGGAATGCTGTACCTCATACAGACTACATAAAAAGGCGGAAGGTAGATTTGACTTTCTAGAATCAGGCTAGAATTAACCCTTAGATTTTTCTATGGTTTTGTAGACTATGGATGCAGCAATTAATTAAGACCTCATAATTCAGCTTTGGTCATGGTGATGATAACAGCTGGTTTGAAAGCCGTTGCTGAACAGCATGACAGCCAAATGACTGACTACAGAAGGAGGAAAAAAAGATATATTACCTGAACTGTAATAATGAGCCTCTTAATAATCGAATGTTAACTGTGGTTATCATTTCTCATCACTGATAGATTTTGTGTTTTTCTGATTTTTTAATTTTTATTGTAGCTTATGAGTGTACACAGAGAACCACAGGATGGGGCCAGAAGGCCATTGAAGTTCGCTCTTTGCAGTCAAGGCTTCTGGAAAGTGAACTGAAGCGCAGAGCAATCAAGAAGCTGAGATTTCTGTGTACCCGAGGTGATAAGGTATAGCTTACATTCCCCAGCACAAAAATAAAGCAAACAATGAAAATTAACTTTGTAAATTTTGTCCTCTTCCATCTGGCCATAAATACATTTAGGCTGTATTTTGCAAATTGACATACTGTTGATAAAAGCAATTTTGCATTTTTCCGTAGAAACAATGATTTGGAAAATGATGAAATTTGATTTCAAAGAGAAGGCATCTTCAAAAAAAGTGAAAATCCTAATTATGTCCTAACAAAGCTTAGCCATTATTTTGTTTGATGCAAAAATCCATTATTGTCTTTGCAGCAAAATTATGTTCATGTTCATATTAATATGATATGTTGAAATGTAATGCTTGAAAAAATCTGACTTTTATAGTTTTCATCATAATCCAGTAACGGAAGAAAGAAAAAGTACTTATGCTTGCTAAACATCTAATTATGTGGTAAAAATTGTGCTAGATACTTTAAAAGCTATTGCATTTCATCTTCATAAATTGGTATTATTATGTCCATTTTACAGGGAATAAGAATAAAATCTACTTGACAGTTATTTGTATAATGTGATCAATTTTAACAATCAATGCAGGCAGTTGAGATGGAAGAAATTATATAAAATCATTATAGTCCTTACATTATATGAGAACTAACAGTGTGAAGAAGTGAATCCTTTTAGAACTAGGAAACATTCATGTTTGGAAGAGATTGCAGATGATTTAATTGATATTAAATAACCAGGGTAAGGCACTATGATCAAAGAAAGGCACTGGTTTGCAATGGTAAGGAATAGAATGGCAAGAACTGATTTTGAGCTCAGCTGGGCAAGGGTGAATTCCTGGCTCTGCCACCTAACTGGAAGTTTGATTAATCTTTCTGAGCCTTAGTTCCTTCAACTCCAAATTGGAAGTTTAATAACTGTTTTGGATACAATTGTGAAAATTAGTGGTAATGTATGGAGAGTAGGTATCTCACACATTGCCTGGCACATGAAATATGTTTAGTCAAGGACAGCAAGCATTAACATCACCATCATTGTCACTGGCCCTCCTAAATATAACCATTGTGGATGTTGGAAGCTTGAGTCCTAACAAGGATGAGCTCTCTGTTTGCTGTTTATATTCATGTTCTGACCTAACTTTGTTTTTGCCATTTATCATATTTACATGTTATGTTCTTCTCTGAGCCAATGAGTTTAACTCATAGTATCAATCTATTCATGTCAGTCATTGTCACTGAGATAGGAAAAGTACTAAGTAGAAAATTTCTGTGTCCACTTAAACACTGGTAACAATTAGTGAACAGCATCTAAATAAGTTGTTTTCTTATGTTAAAAGAAAAAAGAAAGCCAGCTTGGGTGAAATTAGGTTATGTTTCTAAAAAGGAAATGCGTTGTTAACCAAAACCAATCAGGAACATTAGCTTACGAATGCTACCTAGAAAAACCTATTTTTATTTAAGCCATAGGAATTACAATTATAAGTATGGTGAAAGGTTATTTTTAATATATAATTTAGAGTTCATGTCAATTTAAATTCATATTCTTTGAGGAAATCCTGTTTCAAATAACAGTATAGCTTAATGTTTGGATTTGCTGATAGACAAATTAAAATTATATGTGTATCTATCAAATTCCAGGTTTCAATGTATTAAATATTTACTGACTGTGTCTCTTTCTCTCTTTTTTAAAGCTGTTCTTTACCTCTACCCTGCGTAATCGCCACAGCCGCGTTTATTACATGACCCTTGGAAAACTTGAAGAGCTCCAAAGCAATTATGGTGTTTAAAAGGTTTCAATGATTTACGATCACATTTACAAACATCATAAATATGCAATTTGCATCTTAAAATTTCTGAGATTAAATGAGTATTCAGTTTTATTGTTAGGGGAAAATTACATCAGATACTTAACTTTTAATGTAGCACAGAATAGTTTTAATGAGAAATGCAGCTTTATATATAAAATTAACTATAGCAAGCTCTATGTACTCCAGTGGTGTACAATGTCTTTTGCACAATCTTTGTAACTTTTGTTACTGTGAATTCAATTCAAACATTACTCTGGACAGTTTGAAAAGTGTCTCTATCCAGATTTTACAACATGGAGGTGAAAAAAACCTGTAATGAGTTATATTCCAAGCAACTTTCAAAAGAATTGGCCCTGAATGAGATTTTTTTTAGAAAAAAATAAAATTAGCAACAAACCACGTGCGAATTTGCAAAGTCCTATAACAAACCAAAGGTTAGATTACGAAATCAAAATAATGAGCACTATGCTATAAACCAGACTAAGGTTGAACAACCTGCCTGCTTGGAAAAAAACTAAAGGCCACCCATTTCCTCACTGTCCATGACAGTTAAGCCACAGCTAGAGACCAGTTGTATTCTTTTCACTCCCATGTTAAGCTGGTTTTCTCCCGATATGAAGAAATGAAGAAAGCCTCTGATGCTTGATTTTCCTCAGAACTCCCAAAGATGTGCAATAGCTGTTTTTATAAACCACCAAATAATACACTTGCAAGCCTGAATACAGGACTGAACTCCTATACATGTACTGTAGGGTTAGGATTTTAAAAAATACTTTAAAGTAGGCGTCAAAATCTGCCCCCAGGACACATTGGTTGACTTATCAAAATTCTTACCTGTTTGACAGTGTGACCATCAGACAGCATGAACTGTTTTTCCACTCCTAGATTCCACCAATTAAAAACTTCCCTCCTATTCTTAAACAAAAACAACAGAAATGCAACCACAAAAACCTTGGCTGCTAATACTTGTGTTTTTCCATGTTTTTATTTCTGTAAAGTCAGAAATTAATCTAGAAGTGAAAAGTCCACATGTTACAGGTTATAGGACTCACAGTTACAGATTTTTAAAAAATGAAAAGATTTTGAGAAATATACTACATTCATCAAATACAGAAGTCTACAAATTTAAAGTAGTGAAAAATGTTAGTCCATCTCCCTAATATGTTATCGTAGACGCCTGAGATAGGAGGTGTTTGGTCACCTATGGTAACTGTTACCTGGTGAAAAGCATAATTTCTGCATATCCATCCTCAATGCCATGGTTAGTTCTGGGGCAGTAGAGAAGCAACAGAACTACCACAAAGTATACCTCAATATAATTCCTCTAGTTCTGCTTCTAAAATTTGAAGGCAATGCTAGTGGGATAATAATTTTCAAACTACCTGGTTAACCAAAATACAAAAGCAGCTGACTGTGTGTGATTTCATGTATCACATTATGTCTTGGCACCTTAGTGCCAGGAATGATGATCTGGATTTTCCTAACAACTTATATCAAGAGTACAGTAGCTTAATATTGAGAATTTAGGAGAACCTGAATTCATGAATGAAATAATGAATGTGATTCACATTTCTGTTACTGTGACACAATAATGTGATCCTAAAACTGGCTTATCCTTGAGTATTTACAGCTCGAATGACTTGTTAAATACAGTAGTTTAAAGAGAAGACAAACTTTTATGTCAAATTATTTCCTTAGAAGTAGTCTTCATTATTATAAATTTGTACACCAAAAAGGCCATGGGGAACTTTGTGCAAGTACCTCATCGCTGAGCAAATGGAGCTTGCTATATTTGAATTTCAGAAAATTTTCTCATTTAAGTAGCATGTAGAATCAAGTCTTTTAAGAGTTCATTTTTTTTTCTTCATAGTATTTACTCAAACTTAAGGTTCAAAAATAAGCTTTATCTAAAAATCATATTTTTAAGACAGTAAGATGGTAAACTATTTTAGGAAATCAACTCCCATTGTGTTCCGTGGCTGTCATTCTAGTAAACGTAGATAGTGGTGAACTGAATCTACAGAGATGTCCCAAAGTGACCAAGCAAAGGAAATTACAAATGTGTAACTGAGCTTTAAAGAGTGTAAGGTGTTATCAAAGAAAGTAAGCTGAGCACAAATTAAGAAGGGAGATTGAAATTTTGGGGTAGTCAAATAGAAAGGACTAAAACTCTTTAAAATGGTTTGTAAGTAGTGAATTTACAATTCAGATGTAATTTCAGCTGGAATTTTTATATACTTTGCCAGCTGAAACAAGAAAGTGAAGGGACAATTAAATTTCATAGTCAATGTCTGGTAATAGAAGAAATTCTATCTACACCTTACCTTGTAGCAGAAGCACCTGGAAGCCCTAGTCCATTACAGAAGTGTGGATGGGGCCTCCTGACAAGTCAGTTTCTCTTTTCCTGTGATTTGAAGCACAGAAGTTCTAGCAGGTTGTGAGTCACATTGGGACAGCATACAGTTTTATTCTAGTGTACTTTAATGTTCTCACCAAGGCCTTGTCCAGAATAAAAGTTGGTACTGAAATTATCTGGAAACTAGAAAACAATGCATGCAAAGGGCTAATAAGAAAAGCTCTGAGTGATTAAGTCTGCTGAAGTAAGGTAAGATCCTTCGGAGAAAATAGTAAGAAAGGATAATCATTAAGATAGTAAAATTAGCAAAGCAGAAATCACAGATGCACACATAGCAATAGAATGCATAAATTTTAATAGTTTCTCTGCTACCAGTTTCTAGATAAATTAATCACTGAATATTTTCTGCCAAGGCTCATTTAATTGAGACAGTATCCATAAAGCTAGGAATAATGCCACATGCTTTCAATGGGATCTTTTAAGTACTCTTAAATTCTTTTAGAGAAATGTGCCTATTTAAATCAATTTGTATTTAATCCATGATTTCTCTTTTAAAAATACTGAAATAATCTTTGAGACTAATTGTTTCATCAAAAATTCTGCAATGAACCATTGGTCAACCTCTGAAAATAAAAATTTTTAAAATTATTGGTTTGTGTCATCATTTGAAATAGACTTGTCTAATGCCTCAGTATTAGGACACATTCAATTTCTTTAAAGTATGTAATAATGCATTGGCTGGAAGGTATTAAAGTGTTTGCAAGTTGTTCCTTTAAGAATTCTGGTCAATAATGGGTATATTAATCTGGCTAAAATTTTTCTGGGTACACTGGTGGAATGAGAAGCTGATTAATTTTCTTCTAAATGTGTGGGATTTTTCACAGATGCACAGACTCACATGGTATGGGAAAAACCCAAGCAAGGTTTAATGCTGACTTCCTTCCCATCCCACCCCACACTGAGGTCCAGTGAAAAGGAGGCACGTTATCTAGAGAAAGGAGTGATGAGATGTAGTTTCCTAGCACTCAAGAAAGGGTTTAGCCAGGCTGATGATGGAAGATGGAGTAGGCAGAGCAATTTATCAAGGAAGCTTGAGCCCTTCAATTGGGGACAGAAGAGAAATAGCACTTCTCTCAGCAGGTCACAGACACAACCAAGGCATAGAACCATGAATATCCCTATTGTCTTGGAACATTCCAGAGAGAAGTTCCTCAGGGTCAGCTGTTAGGGTCAGCTGGGTGTGCTCCTAGTTTGTCAAGTGTGGCTAAGCATTCAGGAGTTGGGTGACTTGAATATAATAATCTTGTCCAGGCTTTTGGAGACTATATTCAAACTATTACCATCAAATTAACTCATTTCACTTGATGTAGAGGGCCCAAGAACTTCAAGTACTTTAAGTGACAGTGTTATGAGCCAAGGAACAAAGATATCACAGATTGATTTTAGAATGGGCAGGGTGATATCCCAAGACTGAGGGAGGGCATTCATTGCCTTCAGGACTCTACACGGATGCATGGAAACAGGATAGGCCATGAGTACAAAATATCAATTAATAGCTTTCTGACTCTTAAAGGGAGAGACAGGTTTACAGACTCCAACACTGCAAGTCTATTTACTGAACCTTTTTCCAACCTGTGATTTCTAATCTACTAGCACTTTATTTATAGGGCTTTTACTTCTCACTTAGGTTACTCAGGTTCCTAAAAACAGTAAAACCATTCAGTGTGGCTGTTTAATTTCAAAAATTGAATGGTAGCAGCTAATGAATTAAAGGCCAGAAATGTTTCAGAAAACATTGTTACGTGTCACATTTTATGTTGTTCACCACCACAGCTGATTTAAAAAAAAAAATGAGGGAACAAAATTGATTTTGTATGGATTTATATTTTCAGAAACTTCATTAGCCTTTGTAGATAAATAAAAAATCAGGTACAGGATTAACTCTTACAGCTTTGCCATTCCATGTATCTAAGTGCTTCATTTAGTGCTTAGCGTACAGCAAAGACACAAGAAAACCATGAGCTAAAAGAGAGGAGTGGGCCTTTTTGTTTAGGTTGACCTTATTAGTGGTTTACTGATAAAACTGAAAATTCACAGATCCATTTGTTGTTCCTTCAAAGCACCATCCATGTCCTGGTGACCAAAAGAGGAATGAAATTTTGGGGTAATTTCAAATTATTTTACCCTACAAACCTGAAATGAAACAAAGGACAGATCAAAATAAAATTAAGTGTATTTTTATTTTTTTACATTTAAAAGCAACACATAAGGGACCACTATGCCCCTATAGTAATTACCCAAGGATTATGAGTAATGACAGAGATTGCTGAATAATATAAACACAAGCCATTCAGCCGACTCTTTGGTATAAACATTTAATTTGAATGTGATCCTTCTATTTCACAAGATTATTTGATGATTATCCTGTGATGGAGTAAAGGGTCATCAAAGCTTGTCTATACACTTTTTTTTAAGATTTATTTTTATTTACACAAGAGCTGGGGTACAGGCCAGAGGAGTGGGAAGGTGAGAGAATTCACTAGAGACAGAGCGGGAAGCAGAACAGGCAGATGGACTGAAGACACTGCTGAGGGGAGCAGCGGCAAGGCAAGTGAGGTTTGCCACACCATGTGGGAATTTCCCTGGCCAGCCGAGAATTGAACCCATGCTGCAGAGGCTGCAGACAGCTTCAGAGTGCTGCGCTTAACCCACTGTGCCACCGGGGAGGCCCTGTACACTTTTTGATCGAAAAACTTTAGATTACGTTCCCATAAACAGATGAAATTCTAGGCATCCCCTGAAAGTACACTTTTAGCAGATGGAAGAGTGTGTCTGACCTGCAGGTGGACAAGCAGCCATTACTAATATATGCCAAATAGAACCATCTTTTCAAAAATCTTACAAAGCAAGCAGGCAATACCATGAACTTGAGACTTCCAAGTCAAGATAGTCAGAAATGAACAGAATGAAGACCAAAGCAAGTTGAACAACATGAAAAAAGAAAATTCTCTACAGGTAAAATTGGAAATTACATGAACTGGGAAAAATAGGTGGTCCATTTGTCAATGTAAAAAGTATTCATAAATTTACTCCACAAACCTGAATGTATAAAAACCACACTAAAACTTTAAAAAAATAAAGACATGGTTATTTTGAACTCCAATTCTCATCCCACCAATCTGAGAAGAAAATCATTATTTGTACTCTCCTCGTTCATCCAGTAGGGTGGCACAAAGCAGAGACACCACACTGCTTTATGGTGGACACCAGTCAACACTGATACATTCATTCCTCCCTTAGTCTCCTGCAATGACTCTTGAGAATTGTGCCATGTTTAATCATGGAAATATTTTTCTTTTTTGACTTTCTTTTTTTTTTTTAAATTATGACCAAGGTTGAATCTTCAACAACTCAAGCAAATGGCTTTCACCTTAAAATCCTCAGAGCAATTTCACCGGTCTCTCTACAAAGACTTCTTTTAATTTTATATATTTTTACATCATTTTTCATTTTTGCACAATGTATGCATTTTCATCTTGCTTAATGGAAATCTTTATCAATGCAAGGAACCCAGACACCCAGCGTCATGCCCACTGAGGTCGCACTATGTCCCTGGGTGCTGATTGTATGAGACCTCTGCTGTTTTAGTAAACACACTTCCTCCTGTCTTTTCCTATCTCAGATGAATCTCTCTTCCCTTAAGAAAGATTCACTATGTCCCCACCTCATCTCACATCACACTAAAATTACCTCTTTCCTATCCCTTTATGAGAACGATCTATCAAAATGTGTCAAAGAGCTTAGACTTAAAAAAAATATATTTCCAACATTTTTGTTTTAAGTTCCACTGTATAACCTTTGTACATGCCCAAGAAAAATAAGCCCTCCATAACTTGGAAAGAGGAAATTCAGTGAGGACAAATTAAGATCACAATTAATTATCCTGTCACTTAATGACCAAAAATGCAAAGAAAGGACAATTTTTCAAAAATGAGACACTATTATTGCTATTCATAAGTCAGGCCAGAAATTCCTAGCCATCTGTTATTACCCTCCCTACTTCCAACACCTAGTACTTTGATCCTTTCCTTTGTGCCCTGTTTCAACTTCCAATTGTCCCCTCTAGATTACTACCCCTCCTTTCTTCTTGATAGCCCCCACCATTGACTCTCTTGCCATAAGATTATACTCTGCGTTACTCACCCCTCCTTGCTGCAATGATATATAGAATCCCACATCCTTCCTTCTCATTCTTTAAAAATTTTAGCACTTGGCTGGCTGTCATTTCCTCCAACACTACTTCTGTTATAATTCCTGTTAGAGTTAGTATCTACTTTCATTATTCTGTCTACATCCTCCCTTCTGTAATCCATGTCTTCCTAATTTGACCACATTATCTCAACCACCTATTCCCACAGTAACACACTCTAGGCCATATCATTACCAACAATTATAATTGTTTGATAAAAGCTCTGTTTCAATTGCCCTACTCTCAAGACCACCACCATTATTACCCCTGCTGACTCTATCACTGCACTTAAAAAAGTCTTTGTCGCCATATGGACACATAATCCATTGATTATAACACCTCGTTACTGCCCTTTATACGCACACAAATATGTTCTCAATCCCTTACTTATTCAGATAAGATTGCATGATGCATCAACATACTCAGTCCTTTATATGGACGCTTAACTCCATTGACTTTCTTTTGCTTCACAAAATCACAGATTTCCCTGAATCAAACTTGTCTCTTCCACATAACTGATTGTGGTTGTAGAAAAACACACAACTGTGCTCACTAGTCTCACTTTAAATTCATGAATAAAAGCCACCAGTCACCTGGCAATGCCCCCAGTAACTTATACTGCATTACCCTAGTCTACTTACTCTCCCCACTCTCCTGGATGAAAAATTTGTGTTTTCTTCTCTGTCCTTATTTCTCTAAAATTTCCTCCTTCAAATATAGGGGAACCAAATAAGACATGGGGGGGGGGGATAATAACAATACAAAAATGCAACAAAACAAAACAAAAACAAATAGACAATTACAAACCAGAGACATCCTGCAGGGAGGAGGAGGGAGAGGGATCAAGGGGAGGCAGGGAGGGAGGAGCACAGGGGCCTGAGGTGATGGTGCACGGGTTACATTGGGGAAGGAAATTCTATGGGGACTACACCTGAGAGGGGCGGGGAGCAAACATTGTTTAAAAATGAACAATGATGCATATAAAGAAAAAAAGAGAAAATCTCCTTTATATTCATTCTCACTTAATGACCTGAATTCCTACTTCACTGAGCATAAAAATAGCCAGTGGTTACCACTTCTCAGCACATGTATCAAATTAACTCTCTGCAATCCTTCTCCAAAGACATTTTATATTAATTCCAATCACATTCATCTCTACCATTCCACAGAGAAGAATTAAAGGCCTCCTGTTAAGGTCATCAATGACCTCTACATTGTTAAATACAAAGCCATTTCTTCTGAGTTCTCATTTATTTAACATATCAGCAGTTTTTGTCAAAATTTATCACTCCTTCCTCAAAATACCCTCTGTTGGTTTCTGGGAGACCACTCTCTCCCGGTTTGTTTCCTATATTCCTGGTGCAGTGGATTGTGGCTATAGAAAAATATCCTAACTCTGCT